TGTATCATGTCCATTCTATACCATGTCAGACCCAATGCAAGGTGTAACAGACAGCAAAGTCGAATGTATGTATGCTTTCGCTTAAATTCACCTGTCCAATGCTGAACCTCTCACCAGCTACCAATAATACATGGTTGGCTATTTTGGAGTCGCTCGTCCTTCCTGAGCTAGTGAGCGTGGTGTGAAAGAGTAATAGCGACTAGGCTGGTTAGAAACTAGTGCTACTTATCCAAATAGGCACGAGTGTAGTATTCGACCCAAGAGGACTGCTATTGAAGCAACTCCCTTCAAATATGCAAGGGTAGTGATAGCGCGAAGGACTAATAACCTATAGCGACCTAAGACCTAAAAACTGATGAGTAGCGCTGTAGCGATCAGCAACTAGCGACAAGTGAGTTCCGACAGAGAAACGTGCGTATAAGTGAGAAGCGCTATGTAAGTTGTTTTGATGTGATAGCGCTATGCGACGTCTGACTAGCAACAGCGAGAAGAAATCAAAAGAAGCAAAAGTGAGGAATAAGGTAAGACAGTGCAAGTGAAATGCCTGATAGCGACTAGATTCCCGACATTACGAAAGTCAACTTTAGAGGGAACTTCAGCGATGCGCACTTAAAACAAGTCAAGTGACACGCGATCAGAGAGATTGGCAAGAGCGGAATCGATTGCACCAAGACTAGGATATAGCGACTAAAGTGACTCCGACACCAGCAGAGGTCCGGGGAAGGGAAGTACTGTACTGTATGTGCAACGGGTCATTTTATCATACTGCGTAAAAGTTCGGGAAAGCGTAGGCGAGAATAGTAGCGACACTTGCAAGGGCACGATGTAGCGATAGGTAATAAAACATGCTGCACTGCGGAACACGAGGATACATGTAATAAGACCTGTGACTGATGAGTAGTGACATTTAAGGAAAATAATGCACCAGCGGAGGTAGGTGGACATAGGCAGGACATGGGAGGACGGAATACCTAGGCGTCGGACCGGGTAGTGCGCTATGGGAGAAAAGTGGTTCCAAAGCGGATAGCTTGGGAGCTGAATAGCGCTGGTGACTAGCGCCTTACTCTTTTCCTCTAGGCAAGGCAAAATATGCCTATGACACTCATACACGCCTAGCGCTGGTATGATTGTCACAGCAGGTCAAACATGTCCTACTATCTGTGACATGGTTGACAGTGTCATACACCATCAACTGAACTGTATCATTCAGCCATGGATAGGTAATCAGTCCATGTCCTTCTTCACTGCCTGCAAATCGATGAACTGTGTCATCACTGGTTCTTGTGCTCATGCCATGTTTACTGGGGTCATAAGCAACCCATCCCGAGACCTCAACCTCATTGTCTCACAAGAGGGTTTTGAGCTCATGCACCAGTTCCTCATCAGCTGTCTGGCATTTCACTGGATCTCTGATGATTGCCATCCAGCCATGTCGCACATCGTTGGGCAATTCTGTGAATATGCCAATGAACTCTCGATTATCACTCTGTCAGCGCATAAACTGGGCATGCATGTTCTGCATGTCATCCTCAGTGTCCCTTCAACAGCAGACATGGTGTTCATGACCAGTGGTGGCCTAGGATGCTTTTATGCTGAATGGTTGTGAGAAGGTGTCTCTGTTGTTGGTCACACAGGAGGCAAGGTGCCCTGGAGCACAAAGTTAGGCTGTCCCGGAGATCTAAGACAGGGCCTGTGAGTTGAGCAAGACACTGATTTTCTTGCCAAACCATGCGGCAACCTGTGTGTCCACACTCTGGCACCATGTCAATTCAAGTCCTCACCTTCTTACCCTCAACTGGTGCGAAGCTTCATCTGTCAAAACTGTTGTGGGCGGTGCAGACATTGAGTGGTGCTTAAACTCCTATTGCATGAACTCTTCCTGCCCACGCACTCTGTCTCTGACGGTTGGGAACTATGAGTGTGCTGGATCGCACTCAGGTATGCAGGTCTCATGCCCATTTGTCCTTATTCCATTGCCCAGAGCTGATCATTCGCAATAGATGCAGACATCTTACACATGTCATGCCAAATAGTGTGTCAACAACCTGTGAGTGATTACCTGCACAATTTCATCTGTTGTATATTAAAGGATGCCCCACAACCCAGACATACCTGTCAGATTTTTCAGGGCATATTTTATGGTGCTACAAGCATGAAGCCTTATCTAGTTCCTGTTCCGGTGCGAGATGGTGTGGAGGGTCTCTCCACTCTCGATCAGCTCAACGTGAACTATTGGGTCAAGCAATACCATCTCGGCATCTGTACGACAGTGCGGAGATGCCTGAGATGTTCCTTCAATCATGTGCCACATGCAGGTGGCGACTTGGATGGGGTGTACACACTCTTCTTCGAGTGACCGGCATCAGTAATAGAGAAGAACAGATTGGTGAGGCGGTTGGGAAGCTGAATGCTTGTATGGACGTCATAGTGGGCAGTCTATTGGTGATGAAAGAGGGCCATGGTGGTATCATGGATATGACGGACAACGACATTGTTTGCACCAACTATCTCATCAGCAGGTCAGTTAAACAGGTCTCCTCCGATCACCTTATGTTGAGCAACCACACAGCCTCTTGTATTACGAATGTCTACCAAAAGTCACAGGACCCTGATCACTATCAAGGAGGGATGGTTGTCGAAGACAAGCTTAAATCATATCTGTAATTTTGTTTGTGATTGTGTTCAATTGTGTCTCTATGTGTCTTTGACCATACATTTGACCGAGCAAAGACTTCAACAAGGCCAAGGGTGCTAAGGAGCCATTTATGAACCAACCATGTCAATCCCTTTCTGGCCTGTTTGACAAGCTTGCCATTAAGACCCCACTCCCTGAAACATAAAGTGTGTGGTCCTGTTTCATCGCCTCTCCTACAAGGTAGTGGGCCAAACTGTCATTTTTGGCATACACTACGGACACAGTCACGTCATTTGCCAGCGTTCGAATCATTCCTATTCTCAATGTCAGCAAGGTCACTTTTTTTAATGATATGGCTAACCTTGGAGCATATCAGCCTTTTGATACAGCTGTGAGCCAGTGTAGATGACAGACACGTCCTCTCTCATTGGAAAATGAGCATTGGCTGCAACAATCTCACTACAGGTCTGTATGTGAAAACAGGGTTTGCCTTGGTTAGCTCGTTCCACTAAGAACACATTAGTCTTTGGCTGATCTGTGAATGGGATGAAGATACCAAAGATAAATGAGCCAACAGCATCAAAGATCTCGATGAAATCGAGAACAGCAGGGGCGAGCATCGCTGTTTGATGGATTTTTTTCTGACGGCCTTGGTGGCTCAGATGTAAGTCGTTTTAACCATACACCTTGATGAACCTCCTATGTCTTACATTGTTGATCTAATATCATTTTGCAATTGATCCCACATGAAGTCAGTCTTGCCAATGAGATTGAGATTTGAAACATGCCACACTAATATACAAAAGAAGAACTTGAACGAGAGGTACACATCAGCTTCTGGTTCCCTCACTCGCGACAATGTCAGGATCCATACATAGTGCTATGGCGTGTGAGTCACCCAATCTTTACCAGAGAAGGAAAGGAATATTGTACCTCTTCAGTAAGAAACTCACGAGGCCGATGTGACAATCATATTGGTGCTAGGCATGTATACCTTAGGTGGACCAAAGCTAGACCTCATATCATTCACTATTCCCCTATACATGGTCTTCACTTGTCTCAGCTATAATCCTTGTCCGGCACTATTCCACACTTTCCCACACTATGTACGCACATTCCCACAGTGCTACTCATGTTCCCATGACTTATCCTGCGCTATTCCCGCGCTTATAGCGCTATTGGAACTACCAGCAATGTGTTTTAGGTCCATTAGTGCATGTCCGCTCTATCTAGCGCTTGTTCCCGCACTTAGCACTTATCCAGCACGCTGTTCTCGCGCTCTAGGATCCACCCGAAACATCAGAATCCATCCATTGTCCATCCTACCTCATTGGTATGTAATTTGCCTTGCCTGGAGTTTGTAAAAAGTGCTACAGCCGTATTACATGTATATCCTATCCCTTCCAAGTCCGAGATGGTATAGTTTACTAGTATAAGAAGCCTATGGTGACTACTTCAACATTACTTCCCTTCAACTGTATTTCCTTCTCCTTAGGTTTTACTTAGAAGTAGTCACCTTTAGCTGCGCTCTATAGCCCCTATTGGTTTCCCTATACTTGCACTCTTTACCTTGACTTTCCCTTACCCTTGCAATCAATATCCTTGATCTCATTCACTATCCACTACACTCTTTACACTCCCTATCCTATAGTGATGCATTACTGCTCCTATAGCGACGCATTACTGCGTTGCTACCGACCTATTAGCAATCCGATAGCGACCATATAGCGACCCACACTTCCGCTTTTCTCGTGCCATAGTGCTCTATAGTTGCGACATACTTTCCCACGCACTAGCGCAGTATCTTGCGACACACTTTCCCATGCACTAGCACTATTTTCGGGTCTTTCTATCTTAAGTTGTCCTTGGTAGCTTTTCCCTCGGGTTGAACGTTCTTGCTTTATTGTTTGCAAGTATAGCAGCATAGGCAGAGCTTAGACATATACTGGCTGAGTGCTTTTACAAGTGCCTAGTCAGGTTGTGTTTTTCACACCAATATCGTGTTCTGTGATGTCGACCAGGGAGCCTTGACATTCTTTCATGATGAGATTGCCCTCAAAACAGGCCTCCATAGCTGCATGTGGGGCAATGTGATTGACGAGCGAGTTTGGCAGTGGGTTGTTAGCCTCATCTTCAAAGAAGAAGGTGTACATGTCATCTAGTGGCACAGTGAAGTTTGGGAGAGCATTGAACTGCCGTTGTAGGGCAGACCGGTGTCCTCTTACTTAAGGGTCTTATGTACGCCGCTTATATAGTGACAACACAACTATATAGGATAAGGCTTATTGCCAGTCCTTAAGTACACGGTCTATGACTTTTCTAGTTTTTGTGGTAGATAATGTGTGAGTTCTTGGGAGGATTTATTTCAATATACCTTCTTTCCTTGTTCCTTGGTTAGTTTAAAACAATTTGATTCTGTATACTGAGTCTACGGTATGATTTGTGTCTGAGAGTTAGCATGCTCGTGTAGCATGTAGCGTGAAATGTGTAGCGTGAATCGTGTCTCCCTTCCTGTAAAAGAGAGAGGAAAATAGTATGGGTTAAACTTAGTTAGAATAGCTGATAGATTATATAATCAACCCCTGTAAGGTAGTATATAATTGAATTAATGTTTCTTAGTCTTACTTTGTGGCTAATGATTTGCCTGTACTTAGGTTCTTACTTAATCTCACACTGTTTGAGATGAGTGAAGGTGGGAAGTGCTCCATTTATTACATGGCAAAATTGGGCTCCTTATATACCTTTTGGAGGCCCTGATTACAAAGCATGAATCATTACATGGATTGGTAAGAATGTGCTTACTAACAATGCCATTTGGTGTGTTGAGTCAGCCTGTTTACTAATTTACATTATAAATATAGTGTAGTTTACAAAGCATGACAAATCATGGCATGAGTCATCACATGGATTGGTAAGGATGTGCTTACAAACAATGCCATTTGGTGTGCTGAATCAGCCTTCTTACTAAGTAGCTTATAAATACAGTTAGAAATCTTACAAAGCATGATGAATCATGACAAAACATGATGAGTCAAGCTCAATCTTTACAAATCATGATATCTACCAGTCACATGACATGCTTACAAACATGCTTGGTGGCTGAAAAGAAAGTCTGTTGGCTGAATATGCCTGAGGAAAATAGAAAGAGATGGAATGTCATAGAACAAAATAGAAATACATGGAAAGATGGAAGTGAAGTTTGAAAGTGAAAATACTAGCTAATAACTAAGGGGAAAATGATGGGGTGAACTTGGTGATAGGATACAGTAGGGTCTATTATACCTTCCTTATCACACCTCTTGTGTATCTGTCATGGTATGAGTTGCATACCATGCATGACACCGGCATGCAGTGGTGGCACTGAAGGCCCGCTGATGCACCCAGTAGTTGACTTTGAGCTCTTGTAATGTGCACAAAGTGATAACACCATTTTGGATAGGCACGGGAACTAAATAAGGCTGAGTGCAGGCCGTTGCATAAAGCAGCCCTTGAAATATATGAGGGTAGTGCTGTGGAAGGTGTTTTGTCAGAAGAGATGGTGAACAGTGTCAAGTTGTCCTACTGGATAGTGTTCCGTGATTGTGACCTCCAAATGCTTGATGTCTGCCCGATCTTGGGGCATGAAAGTGGGGGCACATCTTCATTAGTGAATGTTGCCTGCAGATGAAAATTGCATCGCTCGTTGAAACAATTGACGTCCAGCCTCCACTTGGTGTGATTGTCATACAGGAACGACATGAATTCATACCGACAGTCCCATTCTACCATCAGGTATCCAGAATGGTCTGCGACTCTGCACCAAAGAGTGGGGCAACATGAACCACAAGCTCTGTTAAGGAATGATGTGTGGCGCCAGATATCTACAACTCCTCTTCCCACACAACCAAATGACTGACCAGGCGCGATTTTCTGACCATTCTGGCTCCTCACAGCTGTGTGATTGAGAGTGAGGTCAGGATAGAAAGTACTGAGACCTCCACACAACATAAACATCATGTCCACAGTGGTTGGCCCATTAAGGACAACTTTGAGGACGTCAACATCGATCTGCATCTCAGACACCGTAATGATGTGCCCATTTTCACCATACTGGCAAGAGTCATGTACGTGCATGATAAGGGTGGGGTACAGAGTTGCAGGCATGGGTCAGAAACCTATGGTGTTTGTGATAAAGAGTTCCATGAGGAAAATGCTACCATGGGGGATGACAACGTTGAGGTCAGAGGGCCATGACGCAGTCCCTCCACACCCAAGGAGCATTTGCAGAGCACAGGACCCCACAATGATGCCCCGCATGTGATGGAGTACTTGATGGAATCGCGCACAATGCATGCCGGTGAACGGGCTGATGATAACGTTGAATTGCTCTTGTATTTCATGGGTGACCTGCGCCTGCAGGGCTACACAGGTATGTGCCAAGCTCTCAAGGTTGGACGGAGGCATTTGGTCAACCAGAACTCGTTTGATGGCTCTTTCTGCAAAACCTGTGTTTTTTCAGTCAGGAAAAGCCATTTGCCATGGACCACTTACATGTCTGAAGCCCCAAACATCATACTGAACTAGCCATGATCAAGACTCTCTTGCCACATCGCATGTCCCCCAACCTTTTAAACACCATTATCAGGCGGATCCTGCCAAATCTGAGACCCTGTGCCACGTCTTGGCCTCACCATCAATACAAGACATTCACCAATTGATCACACCATGTCTAGGAAAAGCACTGACACCTAGTTGATTTTTTTGCCAGTAAGCCCAGAACAAGGTGGACAAGTACTCACTGACAGTGTTTGAAACTGCAAGCCTCTCAACAACTTCTTAAGGCATACACAAGCAAATGTGCCCCACGCTCTCCCAGCACCATCAATGGTGCCATTGCAGAACTCCCACTGCCATTGAGCACCACCATTGCATCTGGATCAGACACTGGGTATCCCCACCAACTTGATCGTTGTATTGCCACAAGGACCTAGATGGGTCAGCCACTGTGCCAGCCACACATGGCAAAGTCAATGTTGAGGAGGGAATCAATGCAGGCAGGGAGTTTGAGACAACCTTGAAGGAAAGGATGGGAGGGGGCACATCAAAAAAACCCGAGCCCGCAAAGTGCCACCGACATGCCTCACAATTCTCTTTGAGTTAGGTATGACAAATTTCTTGCTGTGCAAGGATAAAGAGATTACACCAAGCTTGTGTCAATATAGAAGTGGCAGCCGGATTCCCTATACGCAATTGAATAGCGATGTTGGTCCAGGCATGGTGATTGCATATTGTTGGCAGACTCCCCGAGCACCATTGAGCAGCCCATAAGGGGAGAGGCAAGTTGCAGCCACACGTGCACTCTGTTAGATAGCATGGTTTGTACGTATTGCCTTCAGCCAATACATCCAGGATGTGGGAGGCAGATGTGCCAACCGTTCCTCGCCAGTGGGAAATGCATGGACTGCAACTTCCACAGATTTTCATGAAAACAGTCATGCACATAGTCGAAGTGATCGCTGGACATAAGCAGTGTCATCAAACAACCCACCCAGTTTGTGACACGCTCTCCCCAATGAGGTCCATTGGGCACGCCACACCTCATCCACACTCCAATATACATACAATAGGACCATGAACATGCTGTCATAGGCACAGGACCAGTCAGTAGCAGACCATCTGCAACCTGCACTCGGGGGCTTGGCTAGTTGGAGTGGAATGGACTGAATGGGAGCTTGAATGACTGACCTAGAAGTCAGTGTTTTGTCATTCAGATGATCTTCGCAGTCGTTGGCTTTCACTGCTTTGGTGCAATGAGGTTTGGCATCTTCAGTGGCAGGTCACTTGTTCAAAAGTGAGTTTGCGTCATTTGCAAGGAACTTGGACTTGAGCATCTGACACCTGAGTTCATGTTCTGATTCAGGATCAGGAACATCAAGCAGTGGTCCTTGAAGAAATCCGTGCCAGACATGTGCATTGTGCTCCAATGCACAAAGCCGATGGACTTCCTGGAGAAGGTCATAAGACACAGGTTTGTTGAGCTGATCAATTGTCACAGTCTCCATAATACACAAACCTTTCCTAGTTTGTGCACATGATGCAGCTACATACTGCTCCAAAACCGCCTTCATGTAAATCCACAATGACACTCAGGAGCATTTTGCCTTGAGCTGAATGGCCTGTCACTGCAAATGCAGGCTGAATGGGAAGTTGCTCATGGACAATGTGAACTTTGTCCTTTGGGAGAGTGGTGCCTGGCAGGAGAGTGGTAAAGGACCATGAGATTGGAGTAACAGGAAAAATGCTGTCAGGTAAACCCAGGAATCTTAACACGACTTGTGGGAAATTCAACTAGTGCACAGGTGCAGTACATATATTCATTTGCACAGATGTCAGTGTAGATGTGTCTGACCACGCCCTGGGAGCCATTAGCCACGCCCAAATCTGTGGACAAATTTCTGGAACGTAATATGATGGGCATCCCGATATACAAAGAGATAAACCCTGGCAGCAAACCCAACAAAGTCACTGAGGCAACTTCTAGCCCGAGAAGATGATTCTGAAGGTCTTTTGTGAGGACACTTGAGTTCCTAAGTCTGTCATTTGCAGCACAGATCACCAATGTTTCTGACTTCAATGTACAAGTAAGCTCTGCTTTCAAGGTGTTCAGTTGCTCTCGGACAGCATTAGTGCTAACAATGGCTGCAGCCACACTGTTCTCCGGCAAAGCGAGATCTACCCCTCCTGGGAACCCCAGAGAACACATTACTCGTTTATTGAATAGATCGACGTCCTCAAATGTACATTCATGCATGCGCAGATGCTGAACGGCCTCTGTGAAAGCCAGATCATCCTTCATTCGCTGTTGTTCTGTGAGTGTCATGACAGTGTCCACAGTCTTCCAGGCCAGAATCTCCTGTTCTGATTGATTTGTGTACACTGAAACCGGTGTGTACAGTGCGGTCCCACCAACAGGAGGATACTGAAAGAAATTGCCCGAACAGATGATCACAATTCCTCCAAAATAATCATCTGGCTTTTCTTTCACATACCTCAGAGCATGGTCCAATTCACAGATCAGTTGAAGACTGAGCATAGATGCCTCATCAACAAAAATGACCTGAATGTTCTGCCACTCTTCACGCAATTGTGTGCGGTTGCAAACACTTATGAGCACGGAGTAGTCCTCACCCACTGTCTCCAACTTGCCAATTAGATTTGCCATTCTGGCTGGCCTTGATCTTGATCCCGAGTCCTTTGTGAGTTGTCATTCCATCAATGAGTGATGTGGCGGAACCTGTGGGTGCCAGAAAATGAATTAAATGGGCGCAGCCATAATGTGCCATAAAGGCTTTCACTGCATTCACAACACAGGTTTTTCCTGTTCCACCCAGACCTGTCATTATCATGGAGAGCGGCTGACAGTCTATCTTCAAGATGTGCTTCTTGATGAACCAGTTACACACAATGCAAAACAACACCCGTTGCTTATCATTCAGCCCAAACTCCAGTTCAACCTTGGATATAATGTCTTCTGCATCAGGTGCATTTGATGTTGCTTCATCTAATGATGTCATACTCAAGGTGGCATTACACACAGCGGGTTTGATTGAAGGAGACAGAGGGGTGACAGTATCTTGCTGAACGATGGTCACTTCAATCTGCGGACCGTGATTCTCTTGTTGGTCAGGGTTGAGCGTGTTTCATCGAGTCTGAGCAATCACAGCCTCTTGCAATTGAATAACCCTGCGCCATTCCTTGAGCATGACAGTGTTTACTGCCATGGGGAAATGAGCAGTAGTGCCATTAACACACCCTGTGACCTCAAAAGCAGTGGAGCTCAGGATTTATTTAGATGACAGCTGTAACCAGCCACCTTCACATAAATGTATGATGCAGCGCTGCAAATGAACATTGCGTTTGATGGACTTTCTACCCTGCATAAATTCAATGTCTTCCAAGTCTGGGTCAGAACCCATATCTTTCATCAAATTCTGAGTGTGATGACGGCTCTTGGCTGTCATTGTGGCCCTTTTTTGCAACCTCTTTGCGTCTCGCTTGTCTTCACACTCATGGACAGCCTCCCAGTTGAACATCACCTGTTTCTCGAAATGACAGAATGGATGAGTGACATAATTATCCAACAATGAGGAGCCTGGGCATATTAATGGGTTTTCAGGGCCGAAGGGTTTGAAATGACTCAAGGTAAATAAGGTCCACAAATCAGCAGATGTCTTCCTTGGCACAGTCATGCCTATGACCCGAGGAACTAGCGCAGTGCTACCTTCACCTCTTTCCGTATTCGTGTGCTCCACGAGAACATGAGTCTCCGATAACTCGTGGGGGGATACTAATGGATGATGACACAAAGCTCCAAGTCAGAGACTGGACCTATTGGTATCAGTTTCATTCTTATCTTGTCTCTCCAACCTGACGAAACAGCAAAAGTCATAGAAAGACATATGGGCAAGGCCCGGCCTGTGATACCAGTAATGATGAATCTGGTGCATGGTGATGATGTCACCATGCTGGTTCATCTGAAGTTGTAAAGAAGTTTGCTCGATGTCATTCTCATCAACCATCACATCTCAAGGGCCAAGAAAGGTGTAAGTGTCCTTGACGAATGACAACAGGAGTCCAGATAGCATCAGGATGGTTTTATGTGAAGAGATACCATCACCAAAGCTGCGGAGATATCGAGTTGCTTGTTGTGCATGTATTTGTTGCTGGCGGACGTACTGAGACAGACACTTGTGGAGCATCCTCTTGGCTTCTGTTACTTCTGAGTTTTCTGTGTGAGAAGGGACCATGGCGACTACACGGGACATTAGAGACAACATCTCATGAGTCTTGAGATCCATTTTTGTGATATAATCTGTGATGTAAAACATGGCAGCCTTTGCAGCTTTTCCAGAGAGAATACACTTGATATCATGATTGTGCCTGCAAAACACAAGGATGTAGGGATTATAGTAATTCACAGTGCTGTCGCGACACTTCAAGACAATGGACTTGTTTTCCTCATCATAATATGACTGGTCGACAACTTCATGGGGAAAGAGAAAATGGCACTGGTCATCATTGCCATACTTATGACATACACAGCAGCACGTGTGACGTTGGAGAACTTCCCCACAGTGTTTGGTTTCCATAGCCATAATGGATTCCCATTCCCTAAGTACATTGTCTGATGGATCAACATCCAGCAGAGGGGGCACAGGGGGGCATTGGGTGCGAGGTTCAAAGGAAGGCTCAATTTGGGCTTCCACGTCAGGCAGTTCATGGCAACTGATATCCTCAAAAAAGGCAAAAAAATGTTGCAGGTAAGCAGTGGATTGCATTCGCTCATACAATTCCGTAGGATTGGGTGCACCTAACAACCAGATCACAAAATGCCCGTGGAGGCTCCCTCATTCCGTGAATTCACTGGTACCATTGTGGTGAACAAGTTTTGGCTGGGCTGTAGGTAAAAGCACCAAACCAAAATATATGAGTCTCCTGCTCTGCCTAGCTGCTACACCTGCTAGCAAGAATGTTCGACCCTAAAGGATCTCTGACTAGGCTCAGGCTCAAGAAAAGAGAGTGGAGAAGGCACTCTAAGTCAAGGTAAGAAACTATGTTCCAGGAGCTATCTGGTGAGCTGAGAAGCTACAACTAGGAAAGCTACAACTAGGGGATGCTACTAAATAACCCAAGTGAATGGGAAGCAACCAAAGAACTGGAAACAAGGAAAACTAGGTAATGACTGTAGAGTCCTAGGTAAAGAGTGAGGTAATTATGTAAGCATCAAAAGTGTGAACCTAATCTAAGGAAAGTGTCAATTGGACCTGCATAGTGAAAAGTGCCTCTGTAAGGCTAGAGAAAGTTTGAACACCACACCGTAAAATGCCTCAATATGCCCTAGAATACCCCCGCAGTCCATAGATGATGAGGTGTCAAAGTCCCAACCAAACAGATGTGTGAAGATTGCTGTCACAAAAAATTGGAAGAAATTGGCCACAGCGACAGGATCTTGAACAAGATGGATAGCATGCTCTTGTGAACATGCTCTTGTGAAGGAACAAGGCAGGGAAATCATTTGGTCAAATCAATGGTATGGTCCCCATAGATCACCTGGAACAGAGACTGTGAGCAGGGTTTGGGTTGCATGTGAAAGCTTGATGGGACTGAGGTATTGAGTCGGTCAAAGGCATCTTTCCTTGCTTTTGTTCTGGCAAGTTTGTCTGCTTCTTCATTTCTTTTGTTTTCATTGTGGCCTTTTACCCATTGCATTATTACATGTATTCCCATGGCCGCAGCAACCACAAGCCATATTACATACTAACCTGAATACCTCATGTCTCGCTACTACTCTCGCCTATGTGATCCTGGACATTCATGTAGTTAGATGAATAGGACCCAAGTCTTGTACTATCTCTTACTTCCCTTCTCTGGACACACCTGCTACCGTTGTAGGAGTCACCTTAGTTAGTTTTTGATCGTGCAATTGGTCCCTTTGCTTTTCATCACGAACGTGCCTTAACTGCTCTAAGTGTGCATTATCTAAGGCTTCTATACCTAGGCCTTGTATAGACTTAGACCGCTACCGCAAGTCTAGACTCGGCAACCTATACCTAGTTTTACCTTGTCATACCTAGTTATACCTAGACTCTTCTCACCTTGGCCTAGCTTTATCCACTGTTCCCCTCAGCATCAGACTATTCTACTCATATTGGGTATCTCGCATTGGGTGTACTATTGGTGCCCCTTTGCATCAACACTATCAGACTCAGACTCGGACCTTCAGTTGGTTGGAACATCTCAGGTCACAGATCAAAACTCCTTCCCTTCTCTTCCCTTGCACTATTAGAAGGAAGTGCTTCAATAGCAGTCCCCTTGGCTTGATGTACTGCACTCGCACCCATTAGGATTTAGTAGGTTTGTTGGCATAGCTAGCTGACTACTATTTCTTTTACCACACCGTACCCATGACCCATGTGGGTTACCCGTACCCATGCAGGTGCCTAGACAGGAGAGTCTGCCTGCCCTGGGAGCAGTTCTACTAATTCCACCAAAAGTTGATATTCATCAGAGAGATGGTATTTGAGCTGCATCCTATCAGAAAGTAGTATATAATAAAAAATTGAGGAACTTACAACAGCCTCAATCTATTCAAAGAGTTCTTCAAATGCTGCTAATATATTCTTGTGAAGGTGTTTATACTTGAACATATCCACAAAGGGATAGAGCAACATTTGGTTGTAGTTAACCCTCACCCTCTGAATACTAGCTAGCTCATGGGGTTGAATGTTCTCAGGAGCATCATGACCCTGGCAGATGTTCAGAAATTAGCAATCTCTATAATAAAAAGTCTTCACTTACCTTTGTAGCATATCTGTTATACTAAGAAAAGTGTGTACACTCAAAGGGCTCTGGCTCTACTACATTTTCTTCTGAGTCTAGCATTCAGCACTTCAGGATATTTTCACCATCAAAACATGACACAAGATCATCTGTCAAACACTCCCAAATGTGATAAGGTAGAGCTGAGCATATAAAGGCCATGAGGGATCCATCAGAGTTACAAATGTCAAATGTCCCGCTAGTAGTAGACATAAATATATGTAATTGCCTGAGCCCTGGAGAAAAACTCACCTGGAAATAATATTGGCAGGAATCTTGATATAGGAGCCTGGTGACTTACAGCCATGGATATAGAAATTCTCAAGCTGGAAGAAACACAGGCAAGAAGTAGAAAATATATTTAAACCCACCTTGTCAATTATATAAATCTGTAACATATTTCATGCAGTATGCTGCCTCCCCCTTGATATAATCTGAATTTGTCCAAGCAATATTGGCACCAGGCTTAGGACTGCCTGGAAGAGCAGTATTTAGAGAATCTGAGTGATCAAAGCAGATTTTTACATGAAAAACTTCCATGTACCTAATGTCCTTCTTGTCATGCTGGGGAAGGAGGGTGAAGATGTCCATGCAGTTTGGTCCCTTTTGGGATGTCTGAGTTTACTGCAGGGATATTCAAATATTGAAAGAGAAAAATGTAAAAAACTTACTTATGCTTGAGAGTGTCAAAGCATCTATCAGATCCAGCAAGATCTGAAGCATTAATAGTACTAGGAAGGTCATGGGTTTTTTTTTTTGATTTGTGAACAGAACAGAGTATCAAGTTACAGAGGTAGAGCTTTGCACAAGTGAGCAAGCATAGGAATAATCCTAGTTTTGATAAGTTCTGGGATTTCTGGTAAATATCAGTTAGATGGATCTATGAAATAAAAAGAGGAACACCGTAGATGTCTCTAGATTCCTTAACATTTTTCTAATCTCCCAAGGTACCTGCTCAACTAGTTTTGACATGGTCCATCTCAAGTTCAAACTTACAATAATTACTAGTGCATAGATAGAACTCCCTCTAGCAATTGCTGCAAATTTATGGCCAACAGCATTCCAATGATAAAAAGTGCATGATGAAGGTGCATCCTTCCAAGTGGCTACAGTTGAATCATAGAGTTGAGCCAGATTATTTACATCTAGTCCAGTAAGAGCACTGGAAGTTTGATAAATCAGCTACAATAGGATGTAAGAAACTTGAATGAGTATAACACTCACTTCTGACACTGGACTACAATGAAAAATATATGCAACCATGGATTTGAAACCAACTGCAGTGTTGTTCCCAGATCATCTGTGACATCATTGCACAGCAGATGTGAGAGAATCAACTGAATCCATGACCTTAAAAACACTAGGAAGAGATTAACAAATGCTATCAACCCAGGCTTGGGTGGTTGCAGACAAATCCAAATGAGCAGCAGCAAGCATCAAGATGAAGGCTTCTATAATCAGATTTGAAGTTTAAGTAGCACTCTACTGGAATAACCAGCCTCTGAAAGTCCTCCGGATTTCATTGGACCATCATTGGACTTCATCTGAAATGATAGGCACATACTTAGATAAGAAGCACAGTGCATGAGCTGAGGCCAAACCTCTCAGACATCAGTCCATCTCCACTTGAGCAATCTGGTTTTTAACATAGCCAAAGAATGTAAATTGATCCAATCTGCAGGGATTTCTTGTGCCCTCTGTTGCAGGCTGCCTATAAATTCTTGGATCATACACCACATCACTCCTAGGTGGATGTGTGGCAAGTGTGATTGGGGTTTCACAGCATTCTCATGCCAACAGTTTATATGCTGCATTTGGGTGTATCTTTGAAATCCTTGTGCCTAGACAGCAGAAAGCATGTACCATATGCAAGACATATGACCCTAGATACGCAGCATCAATGGATGAATGCTGATGACTCATCAGTCTGTTGCACAACAAGGATGTGCCAATAAGGAGTCGACTGTACTCATAGAATATTGAATATACACAATTAATGCATTTAATCACTCACACAGGATATTGAACATAATTCTCTAACATTCTTTTGCAGTTCACTGCATACTTGCTAACTTCTGGCATTAATTTTTCTACCTGATATCTGAATTAACCAAGACACTAGAGTATCCAAAATAGGATGGATTTTCCTGTGAAAACTGTGGCGAGCACTGCTGGTATGCTGCACTTAACACTTTTTGGAGGAGACCAGACATCACACAAGCTAGCAGGAATAGCAAAGCAATTGATAAATATACAGGAATGAAATGATCAATGAATTAGTACAATATATTTGAGTAAAAATATCCATCTTTCTTCAAGGAGAAATGTAAGGGAAGCTTTGTGGTTGATCAGTATAACAATAGTGGTGTGGTCACCAATCAAAGTAATTAAAGTAACTATCCTGAGAGATTCTTCAGTATTCCATTGTAGGATTCTTCTATGCAGTGTTCTTCTTCCAAGATATCCAGTACTTTCTGTGTATCTCTTGCTGCCTGTCTTGAATGTAGTTGAATAGACTCTGGCTGTTAAATGAGTTGTAAAAATCTCTAGCCTGGCTAATAGGTTGTTTAAATAACATTACTACAGAGTGACTAAATTTTTGAATTTGATTGCTCACAAAAACATGTATTATAAGTGCCAGTGAAGAGGGAAAGTCAAATATAATAAATAACATGAAATGGTAAGAATGATTGGAAAAATTTATCCATCAGTGATCCTCTTCTGAATTTAGATGTCCACCCATTCATCTGACAATCCTAGTATTTTGTTGAAGTACACATAGAAAGCAAGTCCACAAATTGGCCAACACAAATCCACTGTGCAGTCATTAGGTGCAAAAGGTTCTGGAGAGTTCAAAGACACTACATTCAGGTCATTAAAAGGACATGTCAGCATTGGAGTGATTGAGGAGTGAAGACATTGAAAAGGAATAGTCATGAGAGGAGTAGATGCATGAGGATGTGAGAGAGGTATATGCATGAGGAATACTAGGAGCCAGTAATGAAGAGCAGGAGGATAGTAGTTGTTGTATGTGGGACAACTGATCTGCTAGCATCATTACATCATCCATGGTGATTTTTTCAGCTGTAGTGACAGGGCCAACATTATCTCAATGGATGTTGATATTGTTCACATTCAAAATTTTGCTAACTTCAAGTATAGTTTCCTCTTCATCTAGCTTATTTTCATCAGAGACTTGTGTATCCATGCTGCCAGACACATTAAAGTGCTGTAGTGCTGTAGACTCAAAAGTCTTGTCCAGGGTCTGTAGATGATGATATAATGTTATATGCTGGATTTGTTCTCTACCAACCATGAAGCTCTAGCCACCATGAGAACTTCTCTAGTTGTGAATCTGCAAGGAAAAAAATTAAAGATTCCTTAGATGCACTGCTCTGCTTCTTCTTCCCGCCCTGGTCCTTGGCAGCCTTCACAGAATCTAAGAAAATTTTGATGTATGCATCCTCATTATTTTTACACCAGGTAATAAGTCAAGAGGTATAAGCATTGTCTTTCATTGAATTGGCTTCCTTGTGGGATTGGCAGGAGAGGCTGTACTACTGGTAATCTGCAGGGTGTTGTCTTCATCTACTGATACTATTTTACTAGTAGGAGCTTTCTCCTTTGCATCACAACTAGATTGTATTTGACCATGAGTCTCTCATGCTCTAACATGAGCCATGATGTTCCAGAGGGTTCCTAAGAACAGAACAAGTAATGATTGGAGTGGCAATTAGGGATCACATGATAGCAGCAAGGTTGGTGGCAATGATGAATAGCAAGGCAGGGCAGAGTTTCAAAAGTGCTAAGCTGCCAGCATTTGACAGCTTAATTTTTCTTTCTAGGTGTATACTTTGAGTATCACTAATGTTGGCTACAGGACCTACAAGATTGAAATATATCTTAGTAACAGATTATTGAAGGAATCTACAGAGTATACCATAGAACAATAAGAAGAGGCCACATTTAGTAAATTCTCCTAAGAACTCACAGGTTATCTACTATAAAAACTACGAAAGTTATAGACTGTGAAGGCTTACAGGCATGCCAATCACATAATTAATAATACAGAGATTATAAGGTAAAATAACAACCTTAAAAAGCATAAAGGTACCTGAGCCACAAGTGAGTAGTTTGAATTTTTATTGAAAATCCTTCCGTATGCCACCCAGGCTTTTAAAACAGATTAAAGGAGGTATCATCAACACATAGAAATCTGCCTCACCATTCCCAGCACTTTTTTCTTAACTCACTACTGTGACCTCTTTCATTTCTTGAGATCCTTCCAATCAAGTGGATCAAAGTGAATTGCATTATCATGATGCTTCAAGATAGTGATCATAACTCATTTAATGTAATTGTAAACTGTTCCAATAGACACTCCTAGTCTAATCTGCCAAGTCCTCTGCTGTTGCAGCATTACCATACATAGTGCCTGATATTATGAAGGAAAATTGCAAACTGAATTGGGACAAAGAGTTGTGAGTTACTAGATTAGTTATAAAAGATTTCATGTCCCTTTAGGCAGTTGATGAGATTGTGAAAGATAATGGGATAGGACTTAAAGCTTTTGGATAAACTTGTCAGGAGCATACATCTTCCACTCTGGAAGTAAGTACAGCTGTGGGACACAAGGAAAATTGAGTCAGGAATTGAGAACATGGCTCTTCTGTGCCTTATTATGCAAAGCACAAACTGGGTCAATAAACTCCATAAAAGCTAGAGTGGTTATCACTGGTCCATCTGATGAAGAATGAGATATTATGAGTGAGTCAGTACTTGTGCCCATGGCACTTGATATAAGAGATCTCTAGGATGAATCTGACAATATCAAAGAGCCTAATGTCATGCATGGTATAGAAATCATAGATGGACTTTTACATAATCTTCTTATTATATTTGTTTGGTTGTTTGTGGCTCATTTATTTTTATTGTGTGGCTTCTCTCTTTCAAGGAAAGCTTACATAATGAGTTCACACGTAAATACTCAGAACTTGGCAAGATTAACCTTAGTCAATTCTTATGCCTCGTAAACTCTGTTTGATTGCTCAATTTGTTATCTGGGACTACTATTTGGTTATTGGCAATCAGAATGATCAGACTGAGTCAGTTCTATTTTTATTTAATAATATACATGTAATATTTTATTACAAATAAGTGGGGCAGGATATTTCAGATATCTATTTGGCACCTAGGTTTCTTTCTTATGCCAAATGTATAAAAGGGGGGCTTCTGCTCCACTGTACAATAAGATTCTTTACTTCAACTCTGTCTGTTATATGGAGTGCAAGGACTGAAATCACTTTTGTCTACACTAAGATGTATATACTCACTACTGTTGGACTCTAGCCAGTCTATCACTTATATCCATTCCTTTGCCTCCAAGGTAGATACTTGGAGGGCCAGACGGAGAATCCTGCAGCCATTTCCCTTCATAACAGTAGATGCAAGACTGTAGGACTCCTCAAAAGATCCTTCTTTAACATTTCCAGAGTGGTCATTTGGCTTCAGTCCTGAAAAGAAATACATGGGAGAAACCTTGGACTCTTCATTAGCACTCACCACTCTCCCTCATGTCTGAGTTTGAAGTTTCTTGATGAGTGCCCAGATGAGTTTTCCCCTCCAAATACTGGTCAAGGAGTGCTGTGTGTGAAAACAACCAACTGTTACAGCCTTAGCATTATTCCCATTGACCAAAGCAATGTAAGGTATTCCTGCTTGCATTTCAATTAAGTCAGGATTTCTGATTTGCAGTGGATGTGGCATGGTATTGATGAAAGTAACCATAGCCTCGTGTGAATCTTGCATCAGCCTTCTATTCAAATTCAGGAGCCTTTGTTAGTCTAGATCTATTGTATTCTTGTTGTAATTACATCAGCAAGAATTTGTCTGGTAAAAACATTGTCAGCATTTTCATATTTTGTCTTCAGCACCTTTCAGCCACAACTTTAGTCCAGCTTAGTCATTGGGTCATACATCCTTCCAGCTTGAAGTATCTGTGTATTTAGCCTATTTATTTTTTTGTTAAACTCTGGTACAATCCACCAAAGTTTACCTCCTGTATCAAGTCAAATAGTTGATCACCTATATATTGTACACTAAGTCAATCAAGTTCTATCAGTGATATTCTGAGGATTTACCTATTCCAAGTCACTACCTATCTAGTCTATCTTATCCATTGCTTCAGCTAAATGACTGACTGTATATTTTGCCTCCAATAGATGCCACATTATCAACAGAGAAGTAGAAAATCTATTAACCATGCATATACTTGAGAAGTTGGCAGCTTTTGTTTTATCAAAGTGTAGTTGTGGTGTCACTGCATTTTACACAAAAATATATAATACCCTCAAGTAGTAAGACACTAACATGGATTTGTCCTCACTTGATAAGCTGCTAGTGTCATTCTCATATTCAGAGTCAGTTTCCTCGAGCAGCTCATTGATCATGTGGTTGAGTTTGATATAGTGAGCTACTACAAGATTATCATGTGTGTTTTTCAGCACTCTTTACATAGTTGCACCACCATGCCATCTACACTTCAACACTCAGCCCAACATAAGCATAGTCTATATTTGAGTTATGCTGATTGTGTTAACTAGTACTCTATCTAGATTTCTTACAATAGATATTGAATACATAATTTTGGTATACTAGTACCTTTAGTTCGTGTTCAACATCACAATGTTCTAATTCTCAATCTATGCTAGTATGTTTTCCTTCTGGAATAACCTAGCTTTTCAATGTTTAGTGTAGTTTGCAGATGATATACATCACACCATCTGTTGATTATTATAGCATCTGAGTGACCAATTCCAATCTATGTGTTGGCTATATTAAGCTGATGGTTTCAGATCTTGTTATCTAGCTAAAGCCTGGACTGACATAGACTTTTCTATGGATATCAGAGAATATTAAGGTACTAGTCCTCCTTCCAGTCCTTTGAGAAGTCTTCACTGATCTTTCATTATGATACCTACAGTATATAAACTCCCATAACTTTCTATAACACCACAATTAAATAATAACTTTATTCCAATTCATTCCTGTCCATCTGAAATTGAGTTTTATCTCTTGTCCACTCAGAGCCTTAGGATTGACTTCTAGGCTATGTCTCTGGCCCTACCTTAGGATAGTCTACCTCTGTTGGTTTTTACTCTGGACTTCATCTGGATTAGTCTTTTGAACTTTATTTTTTAGCCTTTTAGAAATTATAGGTGTGAGTTGAGGTAAAGGGCACAGCACATGAGCTGAGGCCAAGCTCTTCAGATCTGTTCCTCCTTAGTACAACCTTCACCTATATGTGGCATATAATGAGTAGTAGTTGTATATATAAAAGGAACAAATGGGTACATATGAGAGTAACATCAACAGTCATATTTTGATAGTATAGAGGTACTTCTCTAACCTCCCTACTGTCTGATTTGATGACTCATGAAAGGTTAAGTGATATTTCTTTAACTTGGTCATTGGAACAAGATATCATGAATTTCTCACTATTCCTCAACATCTTTTGGTTTAAGGTGCCAGATGCATCATTACAATCATGCAACACTGGATTTTCCCCTATGAAGTTGTTTTCTATTCATTTCATTAAGATCATTCTTTTCTTTTACATATGCAATCACTTCTTAGTCACATGCTTCATATGCATTCACATTTGGATCTTTGTCTCAATCAACATATTAATACCTCTCCCTGTTGAATATTCTGCACCCCATGACATGTTGGTATTGAACTCAAGGAGGGGGAGAGAGAACAGATGAAAGATATAAAACTTCCTCAGCCTTTTAATCCAAGACTGAGGTGAGCTCTCTCATTCATAGATATATATTGCTGTTTGTTCCTTCAAAGTGAAGTCCTTTGGCATTTTACTGGTGTCTTTATCTGATTCTATTTATACAGCACTTAAATCAATAGGCATTGATTGCCAATTAGGTCAGTTTATCATCTAACAAAACAGCAACCTCAGAGAGACAGGATCAGAAGGGTCCCAACAAAACTCCCTCGGCATACCTGACATGATTGCTGAATTCGTCAATGAAGAAAGCAGGTGCCTATAGATGTGAGGGATCAAGGTTTCATTATCTGAGGCCACTATGACAAGTCTTGAAGACTACATTAATGGTGCCCTCAATCTGGTCACTCTGACATGGTTTAATATTGAAGAGTATATGAAGCATGTAGCACCAATTGATGGTTCACAGATGGCCATTGCCTTGCAGATAGATGAGAAGGTGGTATCATACAACAAGTAGGCTCACTAGATTGACAGGTCCCACCAGGCCATGCCAACTACACAGCTGCACCTGATGAAGTGAGTGAAGCATTTGAATGGAAATTAAATGGGAGATGTTATACCTATATCTCAAATCAGGGCTTCAATCAGTCTGATCCCATACTTTGGTGCCATTGCAGATGCACATCTAACAGTATACAACAGATGGAACACATTACAGAGTTTTGTTTGAATGAGTTTTGGGACAAAAGCATGTTCTTCACACTATCAGGGTAATATTTTAGGCAGGATGGAGCCTGTTTTTGCGGGTCGGAGGGAACAGTTGTATGTGTGTATTATGACATAACAACTATGGATAAACTCACCAATTCAGAACTTAGCTGCTTGATACTTGAAAAAGATTACCTTGATAACAAAGACGAGCTCAGTCATATATTATCACTGATATTTAGGTCCTATAGGCAAAACATCCCAAAAGTGCAGGAACTCACTGTTCTGTTAAAAAAAAATATCATAATTGCAGGACTAATTCCTTTCTGAACATCAAAGATGTAGAAGTTGTAGTACCGCTCTATGATGTGCAAACTAGTTGGTGGAATTGGGCCCTTTCAACATTGTATAACCCTGCTACTAGTAGTCATAGTAGTGGAGTTGGAGGAGGGAAAAGTGAAAAGAGCAAGGAACTGAGAGACTGCGTGTTAGTCACTGATAATAGGACAGGGTCTCAGCTCACCAATGATCAAACTGCCAGCGGTTCAGACTTGGCAGTGGTAGGGTTAGATCATCCAGTGTCAACAGATGTCATCAGTGAGGGCTCCGGGGATCCTGGGGAGACATCTGTTACTAAAGGAGATGATGACCTGGCAATGTCAGGCTCAGACACAGCAGAGATCAGCCATAAAAGCGGTGTATGAGCTGATTGCAAGTTCATACCTACCCTTCAATACCCTTACAAAAACTCTTAATGACAAAGACTACCTACCTTCTTTTGAAGCATCAACCCTAGAGATGCTTCGCTTTACTGATGTCTCTCTATGATGGCTATAGGGATCTTGTATGACTACCCTGGTGGTGTTGTCAGCCCTTGTGTTAATAACAGTAAGGAAACTTGTACCTGCACATTGTTTCATGTGTGGTTTTCAGGAATCTTGAGTGCATCAAATTCAACCCTACCATCACTATATTGAAATACACTCTCTACCACATGCTCCAACTCTCTAGCTCCTGCCCTACCAAGAACCTGCCATCTAAGAGACAGGCTCTTGTTAAGAGTGTGCAGGTGGAGGATAACCCATAATATTCCCATGCCTTCTGTACCTATTTCCAGACCCCTCATCCTGACTCATTCCTGGTTCATTGATGGACACATTATACTGTCTGGGATCTACCCTGCTACCTAACTACCCCTGATTCCCGGACCTATGCACCCCTGTGCTCTGGATCCCTGCACCTCCACAGCTAGCCTGTGTGATGGTTTATGCCACTCGCATTGAAGTTTATCCTGGCATCCAAAGAACTCAATATCAGTATCAGTATCATAGGTTCCATCCTGTCTCCTAGTTCCAACTCTTGCTTAGCTTCAGTTGTATAGTCTTAAGTGGCGACACCTGCTCAGGAATGCTGTAGCTGAATTCAATAAGTTGGGCCAAGCTGACTTAAGTCATCCATTGTGTGTGATGTGCCGGAACCGAATATTGTAATTGTGTGCGTCATCTAGACAAATTTACCTTTGGCTAATAACTTTGGTATAGTAGATGTGGGCAGTAGCCTGCTGTGACAATCATATTTCCGCATACATGATTTCTTCTCTTTGTGTTCTGAACCTCAGTCACTCATTATCCCTAAACATTCCTTTACACTTCTAAACCTAGTCCCGCCCATTCCCTTGCCTTTCCCTCACTTTCCCTTCCTCTCCGATCTCTGAAATGTCAGACTCGGTAGACCCTTACGTTGGACTTCACCTTGTACCTTCAGATTTGATCTTTCTGCCTGTGGGTTCCACTCCTTGTATAGTACTGACATATTCTAACTTAACTAGACAACAGACCCCTTTAGGGTCGGACACTCTTGCTTACAAGTATAGCAGCTAGTCAGAGCTAAGACCACATATACTGGCTAAGTACCTACAAGTGCCTAGTCAGGTTGAGTTATTTATTCACACTGCCACTGTCATGCATGGTATGGAGTTCATACCAAGACATATACTAATAGCAGTGTAAAAGGAGATAAGTAGAGGAGTGTACAAAGGATATGCTTCTCACTTACATAAGCTTTGTTTCTATTTATTTAGTTGTATTTGTAGTTTCTGTCTCTTTCCATTTGTTCATGTTTATTCAGCCACTTGATTATATCAGTGAGCCATTTAGATATGTTTGTAAGCATGTCATGTAACTCATAATATTCTGACTTGTAAGGACTTTCCATGACTCATCATGTTTTGTCATGATTCGTCATGCTTTGTAATATTTCACTCATGTACTTTAGTAAGCAGCTGATTCAGCACACCAAAAGGCTTGGTTTGTAAGCATAATCTTACCAATCCAGTGATGACTCATTGCTTAGTAAGGATGGTTTCTAAAATGTATATAAGGACTCCATTCTCACATAATATATTAAGTTGTTCCCCGTCCATTCATTTCCCAAACCGTGTGGGAACGTAGGAATTTGAAGTCAGGAGTTTTCCCACTTTCTGTCTCAACACTGTGAGATCACGAAGAAAGTAAAGGCCTATGAGTTGCCTTTGAAAACAATTGTATTCTTTTAGTCTAGATTGATTGTATACTATCTTACAGGGATCGCCTATACAATAATCTATTGTTCTATCTATTGTCTTATGTATTCAAGCCACGTCTAGTTCAGAGAGGTTCATATTACCTACTAGGTTTAAGATTACCTGACAAAATATATATACTCCTTTACTATCAAGAATTGATCTAGCAAAGAAGTAATTTATTACCCTTTGGCCACCCACGAACACCACGTTATCAACCGAGAAGTAGAAAATCTGTTGACCGTGAACTTGAGGAGCTGGCACCTTAGTCTTAAAGAGTACAATTGTGATAGTCATTGTATTCTGATCAACATATAAGACCCTCAAGTAAGAAGACACTGCGCCAAAATTGATGCATTCATGCATTTACCGCCTTTACTGTTGAGTCCTGCACTTAGCTTACCCAAATCTTTGACTTAGCTCGACTTAGCTGCTTAGCTCACATGGCCTACCATGCCGCTATACACCCTCTGCTACCTCATTCACCACCTGTTCAGCAACAGCAGTCGAGCCTTGCTGCACACCTCATTCATCATGACCCTTCCTCTCTCTCTTGCCCAGAGGGCATGAACGGTGCCTGCAGCATCACTCACCTAATTGGTGCCAGCCCTGGTGAGTATTTCAGCTCATCCCTTACAAATTTCTCTCCTCACCTCCCAATATTCCCCAGGATTATACATGTTGACCAGGGAAAGCTGGCCCTTTCAACTGGTACACACTCTGAAGGCAAGTATTTCCTTAGAATATCTTGTTTGGAGAAATTTTAACCACCTCACCAGGGATCTTCCAACCAGCTCAGTATTCCTTTGCTTAGAGACGTCCACAAAGAACTCTGACCAGCTCAGTATTCCTTTCCATGGAGACGTCTGCAAAGAAACCGACCGGCTTAGTATTCCTTTCCCTGGAGATGTCCGCAAAGAATGCGAAACCTGAAGGGTGGGAAACCTGAGTTGACCTTCATGGTCCTAGGTAAATGGTAAGTCTGCAATCTATTCTGTGTATTCACCGGCAAGGCTCATCTACTGTATTTTATCAAGACACCATGTCCGATTCTTCCCGAAGAACAGGTGCATCACTTGGCTATTATCCTTGAACAGCTGACTCAATCCATATCTGGTGTGGCTGTGGCAGCCCCTAAACCACATTATATATAATCTCTGTGGTGGCTTCAACACATCTTTCTTCTCACTACCATCATCATGGGTATAACTGAGTTATGGAAGGTTAGTTTTTGTGATCTTCGCTGTATTGTTGGACTTACACTTAGCCTTGCAGTTGGTTTCCCAAGTACAGAGGGACAAACATTGTCAGCATTCGCCCTTGAAGGGCTCAAGGGACATGTGCAGGACAAAAGCAGCCTTTCAATGATGATGGCCGGTGTTGATGCCAGGTGCGTTGGCCGAGCGTGAGCTGCATCCGGCTAATACTCAAGCAGTGCTTGGCTTTATGCCATCTGCAAGCTGCAGGCCTTTCAACTTGGACATGCCCAGTCAGGCAAAAACCCGGAACTACAGACACTCATGTACAAACTTGTCACCCTAGCTAATGCGCCTGTTTATGCCCACTTCATTTTTGATGGGGAGGACCATCGCGCAGCAAGCAGGTGCAGTCAGTACCTCACTGGCTGATATGAAGCTTATAAGAGCTCCTACAAATATTCAGATTTACATGGTCCATGGTGAGGGTGTTTTTTCATTGTGTTGCAGCAATAGGTTGACAGTTGTGGGTAGGCCAAAGGTGAGGCCGACGCTAACTTAGCATTTTTGTCGAAGGTAGGGAAGATCAGTGCAGTATTGATGGAAGACAGCGATGCTCTATTATTTGGTGCCAAAAAAGTCTTATGCATGTGAGTCCATCTAGCATAATATATATTCATCTAGTGTTCTAACCATGCTACTTGATCAGTGTGGATAATGAAGATGGTACATTCCTTGTAGACACCTACTGTGCTGAAGCCCTATCAAATGACCCGAAAATTCCCTTGACAACTTTCCATCTCCTCCTTTGGGCCATGCTCCGTAGAGGTGACTACAACCCAGTACATGGTGTTCATGTATGCCAGTTCATCTTTGCTTCCACAGTTTGATCCCACTCAGCCTGATCTTACTGTAAATGTCTCACTGCATTCTGCAAAGCTCACCTCGGATGGATGCATCCCAAAATTTACAAGTATTTCAGGAACAATGTATGGTCTGCTGCATGCATGCGTGCAATGTGCCAGGTGGGCCTTCTATACCCACTGTTGTTAGTGCTAACTAAAAGTTTCAAGCTCCAGAAAAATGACAGTAGTGCACAGCCAAAGCCCACATTCAAGGTCAACAAATGAAAAGATCCCAAAGGGGGCGTACCAGTATACGTACTGTGTCACACTATATGCACTATCTTTTGTCGATGCTACTAATGACAGCATTCAAGCTGACAGCGATGATTCAAGTCCTGAAGAGAGCACGTCCTAAGTACCATCACACAACAAGGTTACAATGCCAGCTTGGATTATGGAGCTCACCTCACCTCAGGATGTCATTGACTACTTGGATCAACATACCACTTCTGTGGGACCTTCCTCAGGAGATTCACCGTCTGACTGGCATCCTCATCTATTAGCACAGTATGCAGCTGTGGCGGATATACTATGGCCCGAGGTTGGGGACATGAGTAGCAAGGTTGGGAATTCAGAGCTGAGTGGGGCAAGTGAACTGAAAGTGTGCACTGATGAAGAGGGGAGGGAAGTTATTGACCTTACTGTTGAGTAATTTTGTTTTTGTACACTCGACTTTAACATACATGGCTCTCATTCCATTGGTCCTTTGATGAGATGAGAGCAAATGACATGAAATTTCCAGTATGTCAATTAGTGTACATATCATGGAAAATGGCATTTCAATGAGGCACAGAAGCATTGGGAAGGGAATCCTGCTCGTTTATCTGAAGTGCAGGATGTCATTAAGTCAGTCTGACACAAGACAAATAGCGAGGGTGCTGACAGAACTCACTCAATCACGATGTCGAAAGGATGCATAGATAGGATCCTAATGTTGATCCACTTATGCTGCCAGAGGGAGACCTATATAGGTCTCATCAGAATGCTGCATGAAGGGGATAATGTTAGTTATATGATTATTCACCTCTACAGTACACTTTTCTATGTGTTTTATCTCTATATACTTACAGTATCATTCCTCACATTTCTCTGACTATCTACATGACTTCCTGATCTCCCTAGGATGTCCCTAGGTCGAGTTATCCCTTACCTTTGGGTTGTGGCATGTCTGTTTACATTTGTTTACCAAACATCACCCATATCCTAGAGTCCAGTGCTCCCTACCTCTTTGGCAACTTACTCTGGACTCTAGTCCTGATCACATCTGGTCACTGATTAGCCTCTAGAAGCAGCCCACTCCATTCCCATCTTAACAGATAAGACAGCTACTGACAACCTCATCTTAGAGTTGTGTACCTCAAGCACATGAATCATAATGTACCAAGCATTCAGCACCACTGCCTGGAATTTATGGACAAGGTGTTTCAATCCCAAAAATGGGATAAGGACTATGCTCAAGTTAACCCTCATAATCTCTGGTTGATATTCACCTCAGAATAGCTCACTTCATTCCTATGAGCATCAATTCTATCAACTCCAGTGCACCAGGCAGCTGTAGTAATGGATATCAATACCTTCAGAAAGACATTCTGTCTGCCCTCCCTAATGACCCTATCACTTCCAGTCATCTTCTAGATTCCTCAGATCCAAGATGGACAGTGGACAAAAGTGGTTTCCTTTGCTGTGACAACCACATATATCAAGCCATGGAATTTCATCTTCATGGATTTCATTGAATAACTTCCAGACTCCTCTAGCTTCACAGTCATCCTTATCATCATAGATTATCTGTTCAAACAAACAACATTTGTTCCTACTCATGATACTATTATGTCTCTAGATCTCAGATAACTATTCCTATTCCACATCTTCTCAAAGCATGGAGTCCCATCCCATGTCACTTCCAACCAAGTTACAGAATTCATATCCCACGTCTTCCAGTGATGCTGAGGAATGATAGCTGAATACTAAGGGAAAGTGTATGTAGTGGGTCTCTCAAGTGCTCCTCTGGATATGAGTGAAAGCTGTCTCAAGGGGATTGCTACTGAAATGATTCCTCTAATAAAAGATGAGGGAGATCAATAACCAGTGCTTTGGTCTAGAGGCCTAAGTGGAAAACTAAAGAAAATATACACCCAAAAGTGAAAAGCGCTGACAAAAGGTACCTAAAGAGCACTTATAAAGCAGAAAGTGCAAAAAGGTATGCTTTAAGGTTAAAGCGTGCTTTGTGTGGTCTTAATGGAGTGCTTCAAGTGGAGTTGGCAACCAATTGGAGAATCAAGGGCAATGATAGTTGTGGATATGGACACTTAAGGATGTCAAAGTGCCAATAGAATAGAAACTTGTAGATTTTGATAGAAACTTGTGCTATACACTCTGATGGTAGTGAAACAGGTGTAAGTAACAGAAAAACAAACATAGTGACATGTAAGGTATGCTAAGCGAGTTCCCAGGACTCAGAACTGAGTAGGGAGACTAAGGTATGCAATGAGATAAATCAGGGTTCATAATGAAATATAAGAGTAAGTACAAATCCCTGCTTGATGGAATATGAGTTCTGATGAATGGAATGCACACCAATGGACCTTGGAGGACTACGACAGGACATGCAGAGGAAGGGCAACAGATCCTGTGGGAGTGCGAGAAAGTTAGTGAGTACATTGTGAAGGGATGTGGACTATACCCATGTGCACCTGTGGAGATTCTAGTCTCTACACTAGTCCCTCAGAAAGGCACTGGATATGATCCTTCACTTCACTTCAGTTGGAACTCCTATCCTTGGCAGAATTTGGATATAACAATGCTCTGAGTGCTACTACCAGAGTTTCACCCTTCTTCACTAATAAGGAATATCATCCAAACATTTCCATACATCTGGAATGTGATCTCTCCTTCACCCATGCCCAGGATTATACCATAGATCTTGACAAACCTCACCAGTTCCACCAGGAAGAAATGTCCCATGTACAGGAGTGCCATCAAGGCTTTGCTGATGCTAGATGAAAGCCAGCTTCAGACTTTAAGGTCAGAGATTAAGCCTTTGTCAAAACAAAATATTTCTGATTCACATGTCAATCCAAGAAGCTCTCAGAAAAGAACTTAGGCCCTTTTGACATCATATCTCATCCTAGCATTCACTCCTTTACCATCTGTCTTCCAGACTCCATGCAATCTGTACACCCTGTCTTCCATATCTCTCAGCTAGAACCTGCAAGTTCTAACACCATTCCTAATTGTATCCAACCATCCCCACCTCTGGTTGAGGTCAATGCAGAACTGGAATATGAAAATTCTGAAACCCTAGACTCCAAGATTGACTGCCAGAGACATTATTGCCAACTTCTGTACTTAGTATGCTGGGCCAGATATAAAGGAACAGACTAAGAAATGACCTTTTGACTTGCCCTGCTCCTTAGCTTATGTTTGTTCCCTATAGCATGGAAAACTAATGTTTTTGGACTTGGCATGGCTGGGAACGAAGAGAGAGATGGATGAGGAAAGAAACACCAGAGAGGCCTTCCCAGGTGTTTGGGCAGGGACAAGGACAAATCCGTCAAGGATTGGCCTGTATCCAGGTGCATGCCAAAGGGAGGGAGAATCCAACCCTGAGCAAAGGCCAGGCGGAGCCGCAGGGGCAAGGAACGAGGCATGCTGCCCAAATGCGAGAAGGCGGAGTCCACTGTGCTAGACAGGACTGAGGTTTTCAATGTATCGGAGTGCAAGTAAGTCAATATTATGCCAGTAACGCAGAAAAGTGTCTGACAACCAGCGTCCCAGGGCTGTGACAACATCAGGAGGAACCCCAGACAATAGCAGTTCTGTCAGTCTGCCAATATGAAATGAGTGTCCTGAGGCAATCGGAGTTCCTAAAGCTGGCCAAATTGAGTTACAGCATGTGATGAATTTCCGTACAGTGAGACAACGGATTCCAGCAGGGGAGAGGTAGCAGAAAAGTAGGAGATGCTTCTTGAATTGAGTGTGAGATGGTGTTCCAATGCCCTGATTGGGTCAGAGAGGTCACACTGATGACAGATAATGACAATTTCTCCTTTTTTTTCTTCACTTTGGTAAGTGGAAGATGGAGTTTAGGCGAGCCGTTGGCATTGAAAGCTGCAGAAAGGTTATTCCTGCATGCAAAGTGATAGGTTTGGAAGGACGTTTCCCAAGGTGACAGAATTTTTCCCAGGCTGAAGTTGGCCCCACATTGCTGAACAAGCAGCAGCCAGGCAGCATGCATCAAACCTCTGTGAGAGATCTAAGTTGGAAGCCAAGACCAGCAGCATCAAATAGGTGACTGGTAGCTGCTGAGGACGTGAGCAAGAGCTGGGAGCTAGGCTTGAGACACCATTCAAAATGAAGTGGAGGCGAGAACTGCCTAACCATGGTGCATTGTGGTAAGTATGCCAGGCTTTAAGGGCTGACATATGGTTCCGAACTGAGTCCCAAGCGAGAGGATGCAAAAGCACATAGCAGAGCTTCACTGGCAGGACAATGGGCCTCAGGAGGAATGTGTTCTAGATCGCAAAAGAGAAGAAAGCTGTAAATAGCACTGCAGTATTTGCAGAGTGTTGAATTAGCCCAGGCTGCATTGAGAGCTTGCTGGGTACGAAGAAGAGCCTGGACCTGAAAGATGAACAGCTGGGAGGTCAGAAGAAAGGAGAAAGGAGCAACCAGAGGACACTGAGATCACACAAGGATATCAGTCAAACACTGACTGATAGACTGGATTGCAATACAGGTGAGATGTACAAACTTGGAAGGTGTCTGAGATACAAAATTAAAAATGAATAAAATAAAATACACTGAATTACACAAGGCAAACAAACTTTTTGAGGTAAGAAGGAAGTGGAGGGGAAACCTAAACCGTGCAACAGAACATAGAAATATGCCTCTAGAGATACCATCTGAAAGGTTGTCGGCTGATTTGACCCAATCCACTGAGAGCCAGATATCATGGTCAAGAGCGAAGAATGAGAGGTGCTGAAGAATATCATTTTGAGTGAGGCTGCAAGATCTGCCCGCCTGTAGAGCCCCCACGATGCCTTGATTATCTGAATAAAACTGCAGATGCACATTCCACAGACCTGAGTGGACAAGGGCATGCAAGCCAAGATCAATAGCAACCATTTCTGCCCAGCTAATATCACGACCATCCGTGTCTCAGTCAGGCAAGAGACACCAGGCCAGCCAGGGGGTGTCAGCAAGAAATCTGATCCCAAAAGCTTCCATCAACAAGAGTTAGTGCCCAGATGGAGTGTCCACCACTCAACATCCTTCAAGGACTTTCTGGGTGATCTTGTGGGAAAGCAGAGGCGAAGAGGATGAGGCACCCCTCACAAAGAACAAGGCAGCAGTGCTGGAGACAACCTATGATGCCTTCGCAGTCAGCCCGAGTGACAGAGCCACCTGGGACCCAAGGTGCAAGGTGAGCAAGGTATTTGGATTGTTTGGCAAGTGGTATGGAGACCAGTTTGTTGGATAGGTCCCACTTGAAGCCGAGATAGAGAAAAAGGAAGGCAAATGCTTTGAATTTTTCCCGAGTCCAAGGCCAGCCAAGATCAGAGGCAATTTGGAAGATGAGAGATTCGTCATAAGTGTATAGCCATTGTCCAAATGGGGATGGATACTACAGCAGCAAGGGAAGAAGGATGAGTCAGTTAGTAGAATGGAGAGGGAAAAAAAGGAGCGAGAGGGCAAGCTTACTGTAGGATAGCGAAAGAAAATATAATTGTCAACCCATTTCAATAATGTTTACAATGCCATTGAATTGTAATAGATGGCAACAATTGCATCACCAGGGCGCCCGAACATACCATGAGAGCTCGCACCTCCAAACAAGGCTGCATGATCAATCCAGATTTGAACAATCCCATCAACCACATACATCACACAGACAAATTGTTGGTCTTCGGGTGCAATAGGAGAAGGAGGAAGCACAGGCAGTAGAGCCTCAACCCCAGTGAAAACAAGCAAGATAGAGGTTGATATGTATCGAAAAAGGTAGATACAAATTGACAGTTCAATATGAATCAATGTGTAACGTGAAAAATGAGACTCTTATCAATGTTATTGATAGAGATCGAACTAGTAATATTTACAGATTGATATGCGTTTGATCTCGCTCCAGGTTGTTTTTGCACCCACAATCGAGCCACATTGATAGACAATGAAACACGTGAATTGAATTATAGGTATTGCTACGCAGGGATATACATCAATGCAGAACGAAACACGACGATGCAGAGCGAAAAATGATGGAAAAAAAACAGCACCCACTAGTGCAGTCTGCCCAGTAACCCAGCTACACCCCCCTGCCCTCCGTTGGATCCAGCGAACTCTTCCTCAGCGTTGCCTTGAGCCCCACTTGTAGCGACTGCCGTCAATGCATTTGTTGCCAGCTGTAGTAATACATTGTAGTTAGTTTGCATGCACTACTATAGATAGACTCACCAATGCTTTAGCTCACACTTCAAATACCTGATGGGGAGCGCATCAGGTTGAGTAGAGAATAAAAAAAAATCACATACGGCCTTGTCTGCAGTGGGTAGTTGCTCCCAATATACCTTGAACTGCTTCGCTGTGCCCAGCAGGTTCCCAGCGGCTTTCCACACACTTGCACATAGGTTCCTATCAAGGACTGTTAGAATTAATCTCGACTTAAGAATATACACATACCGTGCATTAATTGTCTTCTGGATGCGCATTGCCTTGGCCTTATTTGGTGCATTCGGATCTTTCGGCACTGCGGGAGTCTTTGCTTTCACCGGACGAGGCTTCGGTTTTGATTTGCATTGACTGCGGAGGGTGCAGGAATCACACTTGTGGTGACAGCAATAATAGATGATGTTGATGGTGTCGCAGGAATAGGTGGTGTCACGGGAATAGGTGGTGTCGCAGGAATAGGTGGTGATGATGAGCTCAAAGGTGTCTGTTGGAAGGTGCCAGAAACACCAGCTACCCTAGTAGAGCCGTGTTTACTACTTACCTGAGGAACAATGCTAGCTGATGAGACCTCAGGCATGTTGACATGAGTGGGTTTGGGAATGGCTGGATCCGTTGCTGTAGTCTCCGTGACGGCATTGCTCAGATCGATGGAGTTGTGATTACTAATCATTTTCAACATAGGATCTATAAGGCCGTCGAGAGAGACAGAGTCCGGAACAGTGGTAGGGATGCTGGGAGTATTAGGCTCGATGGGAATGGTAGACTCGACGGGAATGGTACTAGACTAGATGGGAATGGTGATAGGCTCAACAAGAATGGTAGACTCAACGGGGAGTTCTGAAGTAACACTGGTAGGGCTGTCCACATCCATAGTATACTCGAACTCTGCGTCCTCTGGTAGAATTGCCTCGATTTTTTGCTTCTTGCTGCGTGATGATGATGAGTCCGCATTTGCTCGCTTCTTGCCATTAGTGATATGATACTTGTACCACTGTGAGTAGCTTTGTGTCGCGAGAAAATCTGCCTTCCAGTTGTCTGAACAGTAACGAAACTCGCTGAAATTCATCCTGATTGTGTGGTAGAATGTTTTCTTGACGTCGAGTGCCACCTGCAACCATCCAGGGGGGAGCTTTAGATTCCCCTGGTTGAGTTGATGGAGGTAAGCAAAGAACACATTGCAAATAATCTTCGTGCGATGGCCATCCACGGGCACCCCATCGGCATCTTCAATATATTGGCAAGCTACGTTTTCACCCTTGGCAAGTCTGGATGACCCACGCATGCTTGTGGATGAGCTGAGCTTGGTAACACTCTTTTCGGTCTGAACATGCTGTGTCCATTTTGCTCGACTCCAAAACTTGACAGATGGGAAATTTGCGGGACTGAGCTCCTTGTTGACATTGTCTCCTAGTGCGGAAATTGTCGTCAAATCTTGGAGATTCCGCCCACATGGCATTTGAAAGGGTGATAAACGAGCCTCTGTGATTTGTGTTAGGGTGTAAATAACATAGAAAACCAACTCACTGTAATGCCTCTAGTTTCGCTGTGAGGAGTTCTCTATCCCATGCTAATTGACGGTTCTGTTGCTCGAGTGCATGAATATGCTGCTTGGACTCCTCTAATTGGTTCTCAAGACACATATATGCACTACTATTGTTGGAGTCCAGGGACAAGCAACTGCTATTTCTAGAGAAAAGAGAGCTGCGTGAAGATGCACCACTCGCGAGGCTTGCTGAGTCCAATGGGGATGATTCATAGCCGTCAACTGGTGGGGTGCCAAGGTGTCCATAATGAGGGGTATCTTCAAGATGTCCGAAGAAATCCCTAGAGAAATCGAATGGTTGGTTAGAGTTGTGTATATTGTTATTCATAGTGTAGGTGAGGGCAAAGGATTATTGATGTGACACAATGATAGCGAGAGGAAAGGTGTCGTCAATGTATCAAGAACTCAAACTCACTGCATCCAATTATTTCAAACTCCAATCAATGTATCGTTGAGTTACGCTAAGTCCATCATCATATTGCTAGTACTAGTAGTACTACCTACCATGGAACCACTGCCACAATATGTACAGGACTTTTTTAACATGTCCTCAGAACCCGACCTCAACGGTTATGATGTGGACACAAGGTATGTGTCTGTCTGTTGTAGGATAATCAATCTAACATCATTGTCAGCATTTGTGTATCAGATGGCCGATCTGACACACCTCATAGCTTACTCTCATACAGCTGAGCACCATCGATCGAAAGCATGAGTATAGGATCACCATCCTTTATCTTTCCTGATCTGACAGCATCGAGATAGTCTGTTCCATGAAAGAAATCTTCGTAAGCATCAATGACATCACCATTTTCCCTGAGCTTGTCGAGAAGAGCATTGGTGGCATCATCCCAGTATCGCATTTTTTGCGCACTGCTGGGGTCCCTCCAAAGCGCTTGAATTTGGTCTGCGACAGGGATAGTCTCGAAGACCCGAACAGGTACCTTTTTCCTCCCTCAACTCTTGCGTAAGATGTTCTGGTCGTAACGATCTTTCCTGCACTTTGGACACTTGTCGTTGTGTCGCCAGGGCCCACAAAATGCTATGCATAAGTCTATGCACATGTCATGCAGGATAGGCTGAATGCCACTGAGTAGAGCGACTTGATGACGGATTTGATAGTGCGATAACACTTCGGAATCAGGAAAGTGCTCCATAATAGCACTGCGTATTGAATTGTATGCAGCTTCGGTGGTATCAGCAAGGAATAGCTTTAGCGACAGTAGTATGTCGGGATCATCAATACTCAGAATCTCTTGAGGTGGGTTGCGAAGGCGTTCAAGAGCATCTAGCTCAATATTGATAACTCCATTGTCTAACGTTGCACCACGAAGAGCCTGAATAAAGATCATTGCATCTTTGATATCATCGAGTTGAGAGAGTCGAGAGAATTCTGCTAGGTCTGCATCATTCAGTCCAACAGTATGGTCTGTTCGAGGGTCTGCATCATTAGTGCCCCCTGGAATTTCTTCCTCCTCGGGCTCATGGGGTGGCACATTCTTGTCTCTGTCATGTCCCTGGGAGTCCTCGAGATTCTGCAACTCGGAAGTATCATCCTGTCCTGCATACCCGTCTGAGTCATCTTGCCCTGCATACACGTCCAAGTCATCCAGGCCAGGAAAGGCATTATCATAATGTTCGAATTCATCCAGATAGACCCGAGGCATGTTATGATACATGCTGGCAAACACCTGCGCATTTTGTAAGACAATCACAGAGGTACTCCTCCTCCATAGTATGATCGTGATGTTGTAAATTACCCGAAGTGAGCAACTTGGTAAAAGTGTGTAGGTTGACTTGGAGGAAATGCAGGACCGTGAAAAATACCCAGACCAGTATGCAGGAAATGCAGGAATTGTGTAAGTTCGTGCAAAAATGCAGGAATGTGAGTGCTGTAGAGTGTAGAAATGAAAAACCAAATCTTATCTTCAGAATGTAGGATTGTTTGTATCGACATACATCAACATTCTTCGTTTTATATTTATTGTATCTATCTCGTTTGATTTATATCCACCTCGATTTTGCTTGTTTCCCTGGGCCTCAACATCAATCACAGCTGCATGGTTGCAGAAAGCCAGATGCACCCAAGCACACACAGTGAGATCCAACAAGTCAAGGCCAGCAGTGAGGTGAGAGAAGGAGGCCCGAACCTCATCTGCATAAGAGTTGGAAGGGGCGAGAGAGGACAAGCGGCCAGGTGAGTGACCCCCTGGAATGTGCAAGGTAAAACCTAAAGGGGTTGGAGAGGGGAGGGCAGAGGAGGATGGCAGAGGAGAAGCTGGAGGGAAGCCAAGGAACTCAGGATGGGAGGCCCACTGTTTCCCCTTGGATTTCTTCTCCAGCTGAATAGATGATAGTAGAGTCGGCAAGTCAGATTGGGACGTGTTTTGGGGTATAATTGCAAATATAGTGATGATGTGGGGTCATATGAGAAGTGGCACCTGTGTCTGCATTCCAGTCAACGTCACATTCTGGACAGTGGAGGACATGTTTGCAGCTGCAGTGACACTGGAGGAGGAAGTGGGCGAGGCATTGGACCCAGCTTCCTGATGGTGAAGAAGTCGTCCCAGGCATTGAAATGCATAGCGGGAAGCTGCTGGATGTGGGTAGACTCGAGGGTGGTCCAGATCTTGACAGGGTTGTCCTGAACATCCTCAAAGTGCAGCCTCTGGTCTGCAGAACAGTGTAGAAACAGTTCTCCTGCAGCCTTGTCCTGCTTCTGATCCCACTTGGCTTGCTCCTCCGCCAGAGTGGCTGGAGGGCGAGTCTCCTTGCCAGAGACAAGCAGCCAGAGTCCCTTGGTGCGAAGATAAGCCTTCATCTCTCCTTTCCAGGTAGAGATTGGGGGGACCACAGAGCTCCTCCTGTACAATGTTCCCCCTCATATCATCAAAGTCATGGGCCACTGGTCCTCCGACTCCTTCCTGCGTTACTGGCAGCTCTTGGAACACATTGCTCCTCTTCTTGGCCGGCCTTGTTCTTGAAGAGTGTCCTACCAGAAACATGATTGCTAGTAGAGTCAAATGATTTAAAGAAACACGTACATGTTCCACCACTTCTTTAGTACCCCCACCCAATCTGTATCTTCACAGTCACAAATGAAGTTGATTATGTTGTGGTAAAACTCCAGGTATTTGAAGTTGCTGTCGATGTCCAACCATTTATTCTGCATGCCGATTCCAAAACATGCCTGCAAATTAAACAGTGTGAGACAACATTTGCAAGTAAACTAGGACTTACCGCATAAGCAATATGCTCTGCTTCGACAGTTGTCATGTCGTGTAGTGCAGCATTACAAGTTTGTGTCACCCATGAGTCTTGACCTAGCTGTTGACGGGCTCGTAAATATATGACACATTACCTAGGCACAGTATTAGTGAGACTAATGACTATACTGAAGAAAAACATACACGTTCGATGAGATAGCCCTGGAGGAGGCTGTCTATCATAGTGTCATCGTCGTAGTCACATCCAGGGGGTTTCCCAGACCAAAGGAATGCGGGGAAGTCATTTGCAGTCATGCAAATTCCTCCACTGGCAAGTTTCTTCTGGCCCCTGAGGAATGCGAATCTCAGTGAGAACACACTGTATGAAACAATATGTACTTAGCTGGGTCTCTGTTAAATTTTGCAAGATGCGAAACAGGAAAAAGAAAGGACGCTAAAACAGGGTGATTCACACCCAAATGTGATCTGGAGGGATTACCGTTGTAGATAGCAGGTTTTAAACCACCATCTGACGGAATTGGTGCCGCATAGTGTCCAATCTGTGACTTCAAACAAGCCGCATCATCTGATCGTGTCGCACTGATAACTGTATTCACCTATTACAGGTCTAAGTACGCGATATATGCGCATATAAGTAGCATATACTCACCTTCTGGGTGACTTTAGTCAGCTCCCTGGCTTCGGTGTGATTGTTAATGAGTGTCCACATGCTTGGAGCCAAGTGGAGCAGTTGCTGATAGTTCCATGCATATCAACCGTGAGTCTTTGATAACCTAAATATGACATTAGCTTGAGATATTTTTTGGATTAGATTGGACTTACATGGCAGACAGTCTCTTCTTGCGGGTCTGTTTCTCGGCCTTGGATTCATCAAGCTCTCCCTTCGCTGCGGCTTCCTCTTGTTGAAGTAGACATCCAATCTTGATGAGCTTGTCGACCTTGCAAAAACAGTCAACACAGCGTGCGATTCCACGTGCAGCCACCAGGTACTCCTCATGGGGATCTTCCTTGCCTTCCTTAGATTTCTTGGCTGTCCTAATGATTGTAAGTGAATGCTTGGTTCCAATAGATAGGATCAAACTCACTTTGATTTTGAAGCCATCTTACTGCTGCTTGAGTGGGCATGTTTTTTGACTTGCTTTCTTGGGGGAGGAGTATGAGAACCTTCGGAAGAACTTGGAGAGCTACTGTCGCTATTGGAGGAGACTGAGGATTCAGAGGATATGGAGATTGATCTGGAACACTTTTGGACACCATGAGAGTAATAATGGGTACAATCTATATGTGCAACCATAATTTCAATCTTGATGCATGCTGTAGACTTGTGCTGATACTTTACAGGGTATCAATGCATGCTGTTGACTCATGCTGATACTTCGAAACGACTCGTACTACCGTGGGACTGACTCAGAAGAGTGGTGCACGTCGAGCTGAGACAACCAGTATTAATGTTACCAATAGTATGATTATCGCACTCACCTGAAGGTTGGACAGACGATGAAATCTTCCGCTGGTATCCCACGAAACATGCTTCACACATGAACCAACCCAGCTGGCCAGGAATCATGTTAGCAATGTAATGGCATGGGTCATTCTTGAGTATGTGTTTAAGGCAAGCCGGTCTATCGCAGTTACAGTCTTCTTGGGCAACAGCGTCTTCTGTGAATTAGGAGACAAGTTCCATGGTAAGGAACTAAGTTGGTTGACTTGGATGGTGCAAACTAAATCATACTTTATACTTCTGCAATTCACGCCACCAGTTCCAGCGACTGTAACATGTTTGACTTACTGGTATACACTTTCTGCACACAGGGAAGACATAGGTTGAGTATCCTCCCTGTGCGTCACCTGAGTTTCCACCATTCTTTGCACCACCTGAGTATCTATCCAAATTGAAAGCTCCATTTGTCCTCAATTAATCTTGTTGAGTATGCATCCTGCCTTCCTCAACTGATTCTACAAGTCCATGAGTCCTTGGTGGGTTTCATGGTACTGACTTAGTATTCCATGGCAGGTTTCTTATCGCCCACTATTTTGCTGCTGTTGAACTTGGAATTGCCGACTTTGTTCCCCTTGTGTTCCCCATTCTTGTGTTCATATAGCAGTACGATCCGACTCGGACTTCCCACATCGGTGGCATTAGTCGGGTACTTGAATGATGAATTGGCATGTGAGTCCTGTGTAGTTACTGCATTCAATTGCTGAGATGACTGAGTATCAGAATCACTGCCCAAGTCACCCCCTGAGCATCCTTAACTCAAGCGGAATTGCCTGCCTAGTAAGCCACCCGAGTATCTATCGGACCGAATTACCCTATCCGAAACTCCATTCATCCATACTAGTGTCCCATAGTATCCGACTGGCGCACTTAAAAGAACCTCGATGCTCTGAAACTGACTGTAGAATCTCTTACTCATCTACACTCTGAACATCCTGGTATGCCTAAGCAATGGATACCAACTCGTATGTGAACTTTTGATCTTCTGTGATGTCAGTTAACTAACTTGTACTAATTGACTGGTAGCACCTCTTGAGGAGATTACACCTCACATTCTGGGCCTTTGGAAAGCTTGTCAGACTGACAAAATGATTGTAGAAAACTTGCGGAAGGTGATTGATGCATCCCGCTATGGAATAGGGTAAGTCGAACACCATTGATTGTTATTGTGTCCTGATTGTACAATTCAACGCCGTGAGATGCAATGATCTACATAAGAGCACTAAGCATGCCCTCCTGTGCACCTATTTGCAGTGGCGATCAGCGCAATGTTTGCACGTCTAATGAAAGAAGACATTACCTTGCGTATTTGGAGCTCACCGGTCTTCTGTACATTAGGATCAGGATTGTAAGTTGTCGCAAACAAATTTGCAAGTGATTGAAGATTCATCTGTGCATCATCCATAACATTGATCAGATTAGCATTTTTTCACATTAAAATTCATCTATAGATCAGCAATAAAATACAGACCTCGGGCAGGTATACAAAGGGTGCACGAGAGCTTGGTAGAAAAATATTGGGATCAAACACGTTTAATTAGTGTTGACCTACTAATTGATCAAATTTCCACCTCTATTGATTTATTTTTCTATTGCAGTGAGTTTGAGCGTGTGACAGTGATTGGCACAACTAGAGCACTTACCCTTCGTGTGGCTGGTCGCATTGACATCTTGCCATCAAGAGACATCATGCACTTCACTGGCACACAAATATCAGAATCCAGGTGCGCTAGTGGTTTGAGTGCCGGATGTTGGTTCCAGGACGATACATCTTGCATATTGTCTCTCAAGCTCCCAGATGGTGGCTGCAAATGATTAAGATCAACTGCACATTGATAACAAGGGCATGTTCCTTACAGCTTCCTTGATGCAATTTGCTAGACATGTTTCTAGTTGCAGTATGTTATCTTCATGCTGCTTGACGAGATTGTTTTTCTAATGCCACAGTGGATCAGCAACAACTTGGGGGAGGTGAAAACAAACCCTTTTTATCTCAGTCCTTTTCTATGAGTGTTCTCTCATAAGCTTTTTGCTCGATCATTAAGGTCATGGACCAACATCCATTCATTCTTGTTTTAAAGCAGACAAGGTGAACAACCATTAATCACATATATCTGTCTTACCATGTCATTTTGCTTATAGCGCACAGTGATGTTTGCTGCTCTATCAAGATGTCGTTGTTCAGATCGTTCAAGGGCTTTGACACGCATCTTCAGCACCAAGATCTCCTGTTTAAGTTGTGCATTCTCCTGAACCAGTGATTTCTCGAGATGGTTCGAGACCTCCTTGTGCACTTCATCATCATGTGATCTATTGTGCACCAATTCTGCCTTGGCCTTCTGTAACCTGTGATCAAGATTTAGTAAGCGCTATCAGGAAATTTTGGCAAGGCTCACCCATCTTTGGCTTGTTGTTCCTTAAACATTGCAGTGTTCTTCATATTCTGGGGGCTTGCTTTGTGATCATTCATAACTGCCTGAAACCCGGAATTTCTACGAATGTACTGTCATCAGTGCGTGAATTGCAAGAGACGCAAAGACCATACTCCTGTCTCATTAATTCCATTTCTTGTTGCATGGGATTTATTTTTTCCTGCAAGCTGTTGCACAAAAATATCCTGGATGATTGAACAGATTCATTTCCTTGACTAGCTGTTAGCCAACCTAGACTCGACTTGGGCAAGTTTGTGGAGAGCGCCATGTGTTTCATTCTTCTGGAGCTTCAAATCCCGGGACATATCCGCAACGCATTCGGCTGGATGGCCATAAGAGTCACTATCCAAAAAGATGACAAAAACCGAACTCACAGATCTGCTGAAGATCTGACATTGTCAACTTTCTATAATTCCCGAAGTGCTCCTCTAGTTCTATGATGCATATCTGAGCATCTAGCAGCTCAGACTCCATATCCTGCAGTTTGTCACGCAGGAGACCAGTCAGTGATGACATTCTGTGTCCTCGATGAAGCCTGCTAAGGTGTAAGTATGATTCAGGAATATTATTAACCGGCATTTGCCGGTTGACTTTGAAAAATCATGTGAAAAATTAACTTCATCAGAATCGGGCATTGGCCACGCATTCAACCTTAGGCTTCACCAGTCCAGTGAAAAACAGTCCTAGCCATATCTACGGCAAACAACGAAATATTATTTATATACCAATAATATTGCAATAACTATGCAAATCAATAAATTGAAAAGTGCAGTTGATCCATTGAGTATGAAGGGCCGCACTGGACAAAAATACGAACATCAATTTTCACAAAACGTATGAGAAAGGTTCCAAGTTTCCAGTTCTTCTAACAGAAAAGTGAAATGCAAAGAACCAAAAGCAAACCAAAAACAACAAAATTAATCAAATTTGAGTGCATCTTGGACTCCCTTCTACTAAGTGCCGGTTCCAAGTGGGACGCCATTGCACTTCAAGAACCGCATATCAACTTTCTCTGTAATACCAGCACCAACCACCGCTGGCACATCCTATATCCTACTCCTCATTATACTAACCCCCAACAGCGTACCCATGCTATAACCCTAATCAATTCCTCACTGAATACTAACCTTTGGAAACAGCTCTCATTCCCGTCTCCAGACGTGGTGGTCATTCAATTCTCCGGACTGTACGGGTGTCGCACCATCTTCAACATATACAATGACAGCAACTCACAACATACCCTAATGGCGATCAACAACTACTTAGAACAGCACATCAAGCTCATAAGACCGAATGCCAATGACCACATGCTCTGGCTGGGCAATTTCAATTGTCACCACCCCCTCTGGGAGGACCCACACAATCGCCACCTCTTCAATCACGAGGCAGCTTGTCCTCTCCTGGACCTCATTGCCAACTATGGCATGCTGCAACTACTCCCTCAAGGTATCCCAACCCTGCAATCCTCTTCCACAGGCAACTGGATGCGTCCTGACAATGGTTTCGGGACGGAACACACTGTCAATGCCGTCATCTCTTGTGACATGAACCCAGCTCTCTGTGGACTCTGCACTGATTATGTACCCATCCAGCTCACCTTGAAACTGGAGACACCACGGGACGAAGACGAACCCCATCACAACTGGCACGACACCGACTGGGATAGCTTCAACCATCACCTTAGCAGCCTCCTAGCACTGTTCCCCCCTCTACCACTAGTATCAGAAGACGAGTTTCAACAAGCAGCTGACAGACTCATGCAGGCCATCACCTCCACCATCGAAGCCAAAGTCCCACTTGCTAAGCCATGTCCCCACTCCAAGCGCTATGGCTAACAAATACATCTCTTCAGAACCTAAGGATGGAGGTAAGACAAGAATCCCAACACTCACGGTCAAACACCCCGACTGCTCGATCATGGAGGCCAACACTAACAGTGAGAAGAGTACCCTTATAGCTAAGTCTTTTTTTCCCCCGCCTCCTGCTAACGACCATATACCTCCTGATGCAAAATATCCAGACCAGGTAGAACGCCACACACCCTTCACTGTGGATGAAATCATGTGAGCCATCATCAAATTGATTGGATACAGGGCTCCTGGTTTGGACGGCATCTGCAACATCATTTACAAGAGATGCACCGATGTCCTAGTATCCTACTTAGTTAGATTATTCAATGCTACATTCACCCTGCAGACATACTATGACCCATGGAGACACTTCACCACCGTGGTGCTTCGCAAACTAGGCAAGCTGGACTACACTATCCCCAAGGCATATCAACCCATAGCTCTTCTCAATACCATGAGAAACTATTAACAGCAGTAGTAGCTGAACAGTTGACCTACATCCTGGAATGCTATCAGCTTTGGGGGCAGACCAGGACACTCAACTACCGACTCACTGCATCAACTTGAAGAAACAGTGAAGAACGCCTGGAGAACTAACAAAGTAGCATTGGCCCTCTTCCCCAAACATGGTCACCAAATGTCTACTCCACAACATGCACATGCGCAGGATACCAGGTAAACTCATTAGTTTTATGGAACAGGTGCTAACAAATCAACAGACTCAACTACAATTCGATGGGTTCACTTCAGACTGGATTCCCATCAACAACGGCATAGGCCAAGGCAACCCCTTAGCAATGATCCTATACATTATCTACAGCTTGGACTTAGGAGACATCACTCCAGCACGGCACAGTAGGGAATCGCTTAAGGAACTCACACTTGCCTTCGTCGACAACACAGCCTTTATTGCCATTGGTAAGGACTTTGAATTGACCCACGCAATTCTAGCAGACATGCTCAAACGGGGCGCCCCGATGGAGGATATGAATGGTCCAGGAAGCACAACTCCAAGTTTGAAACTAACAAATTTGCCCTTATATATTTCTCCATGAATCATGAGAAGACCCACCCCAACATGCACATTCAGGGTGCAACCATCCGCCCCTCTGCCACACACCGCTTCTTAGGTGTCATCATCGACCAGGAACTGCGTTGGAATGTGCAAGTTGATAATGCCGTGGCGAAGGGCCTTGCCTATGTGTTTTAGCTATGCCGCCTGTCCACCTCTGCTAAGGGCATCCCATTATGGCTGATGCGTCAACTCTACCTAGTGGTAGCCGTCCCCAAAATGACCTACATGGCCGATCTCTGGTTCACGCCATCATTCCAAGATAGCTCGGATACCGCCAACGAGGATCCATCAGAGTCACTAAATGCCTATCATCAGTACAACATATTGCTGCCCTCGCTATCACAGGAGCAATGAGAACAACAGCCACTAACCTGCTAGAGGCTCACACCAACCTGCTCCCCACCTCCCTCCTTCTACAAAATACTTGTCACAGAGCTATAGTTCGCCTCACCACTCACCTGAAATCACATCTACTTCACACGCCAGTTCAACGTGCAGCCCAGAGATTTGTGGGATCCCATCGCACCTCCCTACACTGCCTCACTTGTCAATATGCAATAGATCCAGAAGAGATCAAAATGCTCGTACCAGCAACGAACTCAAATGCATACAAGACACACATTGCACCATCCAAGGAGAAGGCAATTAGAGGAGCATGCCCACAACACGGATGGAATACAAGTATACTGTGATGGTTCAGGTCACCAGGGCAACATCGGAGCAGCAGCCATACTCTTCAGGACAGGACAATGCCCTCATGTCCTACGCTACTACCTAGGCAAAGATGAAGAACACACCATATTCGAAGCTGATGTTGTTGGACTATCGTTGGCTGTGGAACTCATCGCAATGGAGGTGGACCCACATTCCCAATATCCATCTTCACTGACAACCAAGCGGCAATCCAATCAGGTGAAGGATTCTACACGCACTCGGGCACATACTTAATCAATCGTTTTCATAGCAGAAAGAAGATAATAGCAAGAGAGTACCTTGATTTTGACTCCGCTGTCTGTTGGGTACCAGGCCACTCAAAGGTGCCCAGGAACGAAGAAGCAGATAAACACGCCAAGAAAGCCGCAGAAGGTCGTCAGAACAACAGCCCCACCATATCTCTCCCCAGATTTCTTCACTTCAACTCCCTCCCCCTCAGCATCTCTGCCCTCAAAGTGGCGCATCACCAATCAACACAAGATCGCTGGAGAAGACTCTGGTGCAAATTGCCAAGATTCAACCATATCAATAGATTGACCCTAAGATTTTAGATTGCTCCTTTGTTACATTCACGGCTAACTTCCCCAAACAGTCTCACAGGTCTATATATGGCACTGCACACAGGCCCGTCCCCCTCCATCGTCACCTCCACCGCATAGGAAAAGAACTGTCCCCGTTCTGTGCACACTGTTCAGGAATAGAAGAAACAGTCCCCCACTTCCTCCTTGATTGCCAACACTTCCACCATCAGAGACACACACTATCAAGTGCACTAGGGTGCAAAGCTTCCTCCCTCTCCTACATCCTATCGAACCCAGATGCAGTCCCCCATCTCACTCACTATGTCAACTCGACAGGACGGCTCTGTCAAACATTCAGTGAAGTATCCCTGCCTCACAAACCCCCAGACTGATACAGCACCCCTGTCTAGCACATAAACATCTGAACATCCCGACTGTACCATACCCGCTACCCCCCTCACCTCCTCAACAGGTACAACTTACCACTTGCCTACATGGAATCACCCATCAACTTGGTCAACCAGATGCAGCAGCAGCTCCCTGCAGAACACAACGAGCTCACTTAATCCCCAACATCTCAGTATCAGCCATCGGAACAGCAAATAGAGTGACAGCACCTGTTCTACTATGCGAATGAACCGCAAACATTCCCTCTTGGTGGTGTGGTGTTCAAACTTTCTCTAGCCTTGCAGAGGCACTTGTCACTATGCATCTCTTATTCACACTTTCCTTAGATTAGGTTCGCACTTTTGCTGCTTACATAATCAATCCACCAGGAGACTCGTATATTTTGGTTTCGTGCTTTTACCTACAGCTAGTGTTGCTGCAGCTCTGGCTTGTGGCCGGCTTTAGCTGAGAGCGGAGCTATAATTAGGTTAGCTGCATACCAAATTAAGCTTATGTAATACATGGCTCGGTCCGGTCATTGGAGCCGTTTCATAGGCTTCAAGCCAGCTCCAGCCACACTTAACATTAGAATAGATATATGATATATTTGTATTGATTTATAAATAGTAAATATATTGAGTGATAATAATAGCAAAGGCCCAAGGGCCAAGGCCCAGGGCCTAGGTTCTGAATTAGGCAGCGCTAACATCTGTCTACAACACACACTAGAATCTAACCTCATATCCGATATCAACAATTGTCATTCAATATGGGCCCCCAAGTCAATGTCAGTCAATGTTTTGATCTGATGTTCAGAAAACTTACCCAATTTAGTTGTACTGTAGTGTGGATCATGCTTGCAGGATCCAAGCGGGGCAAGCAGAGATAAGGGATGCAGCTTTGCAAAGCTGAAGATCATCGCAAATTGGGGTGAGAAGAAATGTCGAGGGAGTCGAGGGAGCAGTGAGTGAAAGGGCAGGTGAAGAGATGGGTGAAAGGGGCATTGAAGAAGCTTCATTTGAGCCGGGCGTAGCGTGATGTCAAGAGTAGACATACCAAGTAGAGATCTGCCTTCGTGTCGCCAGAGGAATAGAGTTCAAGATCATGGCAGTAGCAATACGACGTTGCTGGCTTGACGTAATATGTGGGGCAAACTCTGCCCATGGGCTAGCGTCAAAACACGCAACATAATTCGGGGTAAGTGGCCGCAATGTGGTACTGACCATCATAACATCGATACCTCTCTGCGGGGACACCATCAACGAACAAAAGACCGTGACAAAGGGAAACACATACTGCAGCAGCATACTGCACAATGTATTGTATGAAGGTGAGGTGGGGAGGAGTGTTGTGTAGCATCACTTCAAGACGGTTGAGGTATCAACGTCAAAGTATGGCTGATAGTATTCGACTGTCCACAATCCAGATGGACCTTTGCGCAGTGGTGTGATCTGTGAGATACCCTGTAATTCAATACACGTCAGGGGAAATGATGAGGCAGAGTTTTCGATGTACCTCAGTCAAGGTTTGAAGCCCCAGGATTGTGTTCATTGGTCTGTGCTAGCGTCTGCTCCAAGGAAAGCTACTTGGGTTAAATATTTGATTATGCACTGCATGGCAAACATGCTCACATTTGAACTTGAGATCCTCTGGTCCTTCTTCTTGGTGCTATAACCATTAACAGTGAGGAATCTGGTTTAACAACAAAGTATCAGAACCATAGCACTCACATCATCCACGTTGACAGCGACATAAGCGATGGTGCCTCATGTAGAAAAGCGTAGAATATGAATGGTGCCAACGAGAGAGGGTTAGTGTGGTCAAGCTTGCCTTCCGGCTTGGTTGTCGTTGAGCCATCAGGTGTGGTGTGTGATGTTCATCAATGGCAACATCTTGAAGCATTGTGATCAAGCGGCCAATGAGTTCAAAGATCTCATCCTACATCTGACCTGTCAACAGTTGAGCAAACTCGGGACGCAGAAGCTAAGTAATGAGGTGAGAACGGCACCGCACTAGATATGTAAGCTTTCACCTTGAGCATGAATGCAGAGGCGAAAGACACAAAGACAAAGTGGCCTTGAAGTATGATGAGACCAAGAGAATCGCTGATTAGAACAGTATCTTACCATCAGGAGCAGTGCGCACAAGACCACTAGGTGCCAGCACTTCGATCATTTGCTTAATGACCACCTTTGCGGAGGTGAAGCACTGTATAAAGCTCAGTAGGATGCTTTGGATATGGGACCACAACAGTACTGACCTTGTCAAGGAAGACATTGTCTTTGGGGTGCCCAAGTATCGTAGGCTGATCCTGTTGAAAGCTTCAGTTGGAGATGAAAAACCGCAAGGTGTCTCGACTTACGATGAGCAGAGAGAGCCTCTGAGAGAAACGAGCAGGGAGTGACCTTATTGTTACTTCCCACAGTGACACCTCAGTACTAATACCATTATATTATGCACTTGCCTCCATGCCTCGTTGAAAGGTGTGTTGGAATCCAGAAGAGTACATGACAAGATGTGAATAGCTGACCAAGCTAGAGGAGGCGCATCAGCTAATGACACTAAAGATCGAAACATACACCTGAAGCCCAAAGTAACCACCAATGGTGAAGACTAGAAGGTGCCTGTCGAAGGTGCAACTGATTCTGAAGATGCTGGTGCTTCCTCGCAGGTCAAAGTTGAAGATCCTGTGAAACTGCTGACCAGCGCACCAAGTGGACCTAAGACAACACCATGATATGAACAAGAGCTTCGCAATAGTCATAGGGGGCACTCACAAGGTATCCAATGATGGGGATATAGTGGCAATGGCACTCTCTGGTACGGGCAAGATGATACCTGAAACAGAACCTTCAAAATCCCGGACAACTTAGCTTCACCTGAGGAGAAGGGCGATCCTCGAGCCCAACATATATCAAGGATCTTACCCAGTAGTGGACTGAAGAATATCCGGATTGCCTAGATGAGGAGATTGTCAGATAACAACTGAAATTCAATATCCAAACACAATGCAAGAAGGATCATAATGTGCGTGATGGTAAACACAAAGCGAGAAACAAAAACAAAAGATCAAGGACATGTCAGGTATCATAGATGACAACCTCGTTGTCGATGTCATCACATTCTTGCTCTGCAATGGCTTTGAGAACAGCGTCATATGCATGGCTGTCATCTGTAGGTCCACTTGAGACAGGTCCCAAAAGCTCATTGGAGCTATTATCAGATGCCATCGCAGTTTCCATGGCCCATTGTGATGCCGCCCAGCCTTTGGTGAAGGTAAGATGTACTAGTTTGAGAATGAATTTCTTTGCTAACTTTACACGGTCCTCATCCCAATGATCTGTAGCCCATGACATTCAACATGTGGGATCAACAACTATAAACCAATCATAAGACATCAACTTTTATAAAAATGCGAGGGACTGACACATCGCAATGGCATATGCATTTGTGCAGGACATCCTGTCATCATACTTCTCCACCCAAGTCAAACCAATGTTGATGAGCGGTGCACAGTGTGGGGCGCTATTGGCCACCTGCTTCCAATCCTCAAGTAACCTTTCAAACGCTGGAACTGTACGACCCAACATGGGAGTGCTCTTGCTCAACATAGATTGGTGAGCTCTGTGGGGGGGACTGAAATTACAAGATTAGATGTGACATAGGTTACGAAGATGTCGATACTGACCTCCAGAATTACTTCAAAGTCCTGTAGGAAATGCCATTCTATTGGACTCAACTTTTTGTCATATATAGAGCATTGATTGGCAGACTCAAAGAATATATCAACCGCCTAGGCAATGGTTAGCCCACCACAAATATTCAGTGAGATGAGACCTCACCTGACGTAGATTGCATAGACGATTGAGCATGACATAAACTGAATCCCAGCGGGTTGGCTCATTGAGCAGGAGTTCGACTTCAGGGAGCTTTATAGGCTCGCCTGTGTCTCCTTGGAAATAATCACTTTCATTACCTATCTCGATGGTCTTCCTAAAAGCCGAACATCGTTGGTTTGATGCATGGATGGAGCACACAAGATTTCTAGCCTGTTCGAGAGCTTTACTGGTGATGGCGCCAACATACTCATTCTTGTCGATGATTTGACCACAAACACTCCAGGTATTCTCCACGGATGAGAAGTCCACTGTCACGTAGTTGTCAACAATATGTTTCACACATATGTTGATTACGTGCGGAAAAGAAGGGATTCTGTTTTCGATTGGATGATATTTGATCTTGCGATCTTCGAGTAAGCTTGAGAGCTCCTTCATGCATGTTTGATTGTTTGCTGCATTGTCCAAAGTGAAGTGTCCAGGCTAAATGAAGTCAGAGCACATATATGGTACAGCTGAACACTCACATCCTTTGCAACATCAGCACGATCGAGGAGATGCAGCATTACTGAACCAAGAGATTTGTCGGTATGACTTCCTGGAACGTGGTGAAACACAATCAAGGCTGCCTTCAAGACGAGCACTGATGTCTGCTCTTCCTTGGCAATCCAGTGAGTGTACCTAAGATGTATGGTGGGATTCTCGATAACCAGACACTCACAGCAAGATCACCTTTCAACACCTGGAAATACTCCTGCCACGCAACAATTATTAGCTCACGAAGTTTTGTGCGGTGGGGAATGTCTGAATCGGTCAAATCCTTCCGTAAAAAATGTATCAGGCATCAAAACTCCACACATTCGATAATGTTTATTGCCTGCAGAAAATGAATTAGCAAGGGGACAGGGGACATAGAAAGTAAATATCAACTTGCCTGATCGTCTGCAACTATGAATTTCACCAACTGACGGTGCATCTCATTGATGCTGAAATCTGGGATATAATCATCCAGAGATAAGATAGGCGTCACTCTTATCCAACACCCTACATAAGCATAACCCTAACCCTAAAAATGGCCAAACCTTCGACTTGAAAATTTTCAACAGTTGAGATTGAGAGACTGAAGAAAGATTAGTGACGAGTTTGTTATTAGTACATGTAGTAACACTATATACTGGTGCATTAGGCCTTTCTCAGTGCCTCCTTAACAGAGTCCGAGCTGAGTTTCCGGTGTAATGCTTTGGCCTTCCGGCACCTTTTGACCTTTGTCTTTCCCCTTCAGCAGCAGTATTCTGTGCTTGAAAGAGGATTTCTGAGAATGTGAGAAGTGCTGCTTCATCCTGTATATCTCCCTCTTCTTCCACACTGAACTCCATATCATCTTCAGAATCACTGCAGCTGGAGTCCTCCTCAGAGTCAGAGACATCTTCGACTGTGGCTTTGCGGGACTTGGAAAGTGCAGACTGAATATTTCTGAGACGAGCCTTATTAGCTTTAGACTTTACACCCATCGAGAGATGCTTTATGTGTGTAATATCACTGATTTTTGCTGCCTTCTCCTCCTCGGTCCTGCCCAGGCACATATCACGTGATGTATTATATAAGCGGCCAAATATTGGTGTGCCGAAAACTTTAAAATCATTCCCTTGCATCCCATGGCCTTATAAACCACTTTCTGACTTTATAGAACAAAATTTTTCGGAGGATGAAAATCTCCTCCAGTTTTGAATATTTTTTATTTCTGCTTCCTGGCAATTCAATTTATGCTACTCATAGATAGTTCCTAGGATCCATATACATTAGAAACAAATATATGTGTCCATAATTTGAGCAATGGCGAGGCTCTCAATGTGCTGATGTAAGCGGTGCTGGATAAGAGTGACGCCTATCTTAAGGTGGTTCCAGGCGGAAAATTGCCGTGTCCCTGATTAGGGATGGTACCGAGCGACTCAATGTGATACACAGGGTCCCGGAGCCTTTCACGGATAGTTGCCAAAGTCCACCCTTCAGCAAGTCACTCATTGAGTGGCTGTATGTAGATCGGCCAGCATAGGCGCTCCGCCTCTTGCAGGAAAAAGTCAGTGTGGTGATAGAAAGCATGAGTACGATGGGCAGAAGTGCCGGTTGAGTGCTGATATGACATAACCTGGTGTGAACTGTCCACCTTCTGCAACTCCCTGGACAAGGCCATAATAAGAAAGAACGAAATAATTGCAGATGCAAAACTCACTCACAGATTCTGCAAATCTTGCGTTTAGTAGCTGAATCTCCCCTGAAGAAGTAGTTGATATCAGCCGTGCTTTTAGGCTGCTTTCCTTGGACACCCGTAACTAAGGGATTGACTTAGGTGGAGTAGATGGTACTAGTAGCTGTCTGCAGAGGGCTGGGAACTGGAGGAGCCCTAATGCTGGGTGCCGGCAAGTTATCTTCTTCATCCCCGGAGACATTGCCAATGTCAATGTATTCGCCATCATCTGGTGTGCAACTAGTGCCAGTACAAACTGGGCTATTATTGCAGAACCTCAGAGGCAGTTGCTGTTGCCTTTGGGGGTGTTGAAGCATAGTTGCATTCAATGCAACAGCGGCAGCGATGGGTGCAACAGTGGCAGTGATGGGGGTAACGATGGGGGTAGCATCAATTGGAGCAGCAGCAGTAGGAGTTACAGCAGCATGAGTAGGCACAGCAGTAACTTGAGACTTCTGCCCTTGTCGACGAGAAGGCATGTTTGAGTGGCTGTAAAGATTCAAAGACACAGTCTTTATGTATCTTCATCAAGGGAAACAGTGGGCAAACCCCAGTCCTGAGCCAACTCATGACAAGTCCAACATGTACACAACATCATTAATTGTGATATGACACCAGGGGGACAACTGAACATATGCCCAAGGTATGTACCGTAAGATCTTGTTCATTCAAGTGGTCCTAGGCGGCGCAATATATGTGTGGGGTTTCCCTGATGCCCACTACCTTACCCAATGAGAGGGTTACCGATACCATAAGATGTGCATTCTGATGTACCCTAGATCTCGCAATCAGTTGGTTATATCAAGGAAAGTAAAGCTTACCTACATCCTCAGAGTCAACTGGCTATCCAGAAGCCAGATTGCGATGTAGCAAGGACATCCAGCGAAAGGGACTCCTCATGTTTGCAAAGGGTTTGGTTCTCAGGGTGGGTGGTTTGACGATCACTGAACACGTGTTTCAGTTATCAACCAATGGCTCAAGTGATTTAATGCTTACCTTCATTCCAGGAGTCGATAACTGATTGATTGAGCATTTAATAGCGATACAGGGCAAGGGGATTGGGGTGTTTGTGGAAAATCCCCCATGCGTCGTCCAGGAGGTTGGTCATGATGGCGATATGCAGGACAAGTTTGTTTCTGTAGCAGGCCGACCGATTTGGAGAAAAACAACACTTGCAAGTTGCAAGGAGGATGGGCAAGGAGATGGTAGGGTGAGAAAAAGATAAGAAGCTGCGTGACTCAGCATGGAGTTGGGAATCAGGCCTCAGGAATCAGGATTATCAAATTTGTTGACATGTATTTGACCGCATTGAATGGTATGAAACCTATGAGAAACACTGATTGTAGAGTACACTGTACAGTTATGTAGAGATAGAACGAAAGACATATTCAACAGCGTGATCTAGCAACTAATGGCTTTTTCCACAGTGCAGTTGGGTGCATGGGAGAGGCATTACATTGTTGTAAACTTGGAAATCACATTAGCTTCAGATTGTGAATGGGAAAATGAGACAGAATACTCACACACAAGTAGATCTGCAAAGTGGTGTTGCATCCAGCAGACATGGGGCCGCCTCAACCATCCAGTGTTCATTGGAGATTGGAGGGTCCACAAAGCAATGAACGAAGATGCCCATAGTCAGGGTCTTCCGAGAACGCAAGAGAGCACGTGTAGATGAGAACACTTGCAAATTTGATGGGAATTCCATCGCATAAGACTTCGATGGTGGTGTTGACCTTGCACTCGAGTACAGAAGAGCTGGAGAGTTTCTCGGAGTCACTAGTTAACCAAGGAAGGGAGCCACGTAACAGATAGATCAACATGTAAGTAAGTGATTCAAGGTCATCACGATGACCCAGGTCAACTCCTAAGTGGTTGTTGATTGAAGCGAAGGCAGGAGTGCCAGTGAGACATTGATTCTGACAAAAGGGAATATGGACTCTGGTTGCAGTGTCCCAGTATTCCTTCACGATACCGAAATCAATTATAAATGCAGTGTGCTTCAGATGGCCAAGGCCCACCAAGACATTCTGCGGTTTGATATCACAGTGAACATAATTGTTTGAGTGGCTGTACTCAAGACGTGAGAGCTGGAAAATGAGTTAGCCTATCTGCAACAACCCAGCACAAACCGACTGATCAGTTGAATTCCTAGATCGACAACAGTATGAAGGCTAAATTTTCGATCATGTGCGAGGAAAAGATCATGCAGTGATGGCCCAAGGAGGCCGAGAGCCAAAGCATGATATGTTCATTCTCGACCAAACCAGAGAGTGTGGGGTATCCCAACACCCCCTTCAAGTTGTTTCAGAATGGCGTATTCGTGCTGTACAGAAGATGGCTGGGCTGTGATAGATTCGAGTTTGATGGCAACTGCATAAGTAGATTCCAGAGTATGTTAATTGTTTATAATTATAGTCAGCTTGTGAACAACACACCGTATGAACCAGATCCCAAAACATCTCCGAGTCTGAATCTACTGTCAACTCGTATCGGGACCTTATGGTTCATGGTGGGTATACTATGAGATAACTTGAGCCTTGAGGTTTCGAGGAGTAACAGTCAAACTAACCGGGAATGAGACTTCATGAACAGAGATGTGATTTCATATTTATAAATCAGCTTGAGCCGCCGTTGATTATTTTTGGCTTACAGTTGGTTCGTGGGACTCCAAACGGCTAATGAACCGGACCAAACTATATATAAGTAGCCTGGCTCACTAGGATAGCCAAAATACTTGCAAACCGATGAATGCCAAGCTGGAGCGGGCCGTAGCCGAGCTGCGGTTGTACTACCTACAGCCCAGCCAAAACTTGTTCACCACAGCAGCATTAAGCCTTGTGCTATCACCGAGCTGAGTATGGAGAAAAATGTGAGTATGGAGAAAAATGTGAGTATGGAGAAAAATGTGAGTATGGAGAAAAATGTAAGTATGGTGACCAAGCTTGTTATATCCTTGTCGTATGGTCTCCAGAGGTCCTTAGCGGAATTTGCTAGGACTTCGTGTTCATCCATGCTCGCCGACAACGGTCCAAGTCAGTGTACACGTTCAGCAACTTTGTTTATGATCATCCATTTCCCAATACAGCCAAATGCAAACAAGGGACTTCAAAATCAGACAATTGACAACTGATTTTCTTTGATTTGTTGTTTTGAAAATCCATTTCCATGTGTTCCAATTTTTGTCCAGTGCAGCCCTTCATAAGATAGGCGTCACTCTTATCCAGCACCGCTTACATCAGCACATTGAGAGCCTCGCCATTGCTCAAATTATGGACACATATATTTGTTTCTAATGTATATGGATCCTAGGAACTATCTATGAGTAGCATAAATTGAATTGCCAGGAAGCAGAAATAAAAAATATTCAAAACTGGAGGAGATTTTCATCCTCCGAAAAATTTTGTTCTATAAAGTCAGAAAGTGGTTTATAAGGCCATGGGATGCAAGGGAATGATTTTAAAGTTTTCGGCACACCAATATTTGGCCGCTTATATAATACATCACGTGATATGTGCCTGGGCAGGACCGAGGAGGAGAAGGCAGCAAAAATCAGTGATATTACACACATAAAGCATCTCTCGATGGGTGTAAAGTCTAAAGCTAATAAGGCTCGTCTCAGAAATATTCAGTCTGCACTTTCCAAGTCCCGCAAAGCCACAGTCGAAGATGTCTCTGACTCTGAGGAGGACTCCAGCTGCAGTGATTCTGAAGATGATATGGAGTTCAGTGTGGAAGAAGAGGGAGATATACAGGATGAAGCAGCACTTCTCACATTCTCAGAAATCCTCTTTCAAGCACAGAATACTGCTGCTGAAGGGGAAAGACAAAGGTCAAAAGGTGCCGGAAGGCCAAAGCATTACACCGGAAACTCAGCTCGGACTCTGTTAAGGAGGCACTGAGAAAGGCCTAATGCACCAGTGTATAGTGTTACTACATGTACTAATAACAAACTCGTCACTAATCTTTCTTCAGTCTCTCAATCTCAACTGTTGAAAATTTTCAAGTCGAAGGTTTGGCCATTTTTAGGGTTAGGGTTATGCTTATGTAGGGTGTTGGACAAGAGTGACGCCTATCTTAATTGAGCAAAGATTGGTTGAAGATTGGTTGAACATGTTGAAATTCTTTGACTTGACTTTGCTCAATATTTGAATGTTTGAACATTCTTGTGCATGCACCATCACTTCATGTGATGATATTGATATGCAGTGGACCAATTATGATATATATTGGGACATTCCATCCATACTCAGTTCACCTCAGCTTTCTTCTTCCCCTCCATCATCTTGTCCTCCTCTCAGCAAAATCTTGCTGTTGACCTCAACCATCCTGGTACCATGTGATACTGATTTTCTTGCTTAGCCACTGCACTAACAAGATAAGTACTAGGCCTTTTCACGGCCCAATCCATCTGCTGATTTCACCCACTCGACAGTCATCCAAGTAAGTGCTATTTGCCATTATGGCGCATATATGCACACATTTTGAACATTGTGAGTTATCTGACATTGTCAGGTTCAGCGAGTTCCATTAAAAGCTACCCAATATACTTTAACTGACTGTTAAGACTGTACTCAAGGGGTCTCAGATCTGAAGGGCTTTGACCTCAGCTCATGCGCTATGCCCCTTTCCCGAGTATTGCCTCTTATTTCAGAGTACTGAAGTATCGCGTCTAGTGAGACGGATAAGTATCGTAACAGATACATTAAGGCTTCCAGATATCGGACGTATAGAGTAACAACTAATCCAGATCAGATCCGAACTAAAAACTAACAGATAAAGACTATCTGAATACAGAGGCAGATATGTAGACTATTGGAATCAATCCTAAGTCTCGGATTAGACAAGAGTAGAAGACTCAAGTTCAGACGGATAATGGAGGACAAACGGAGGGACTTAGGGTCCACACGGAATGAGTGCAATCTAAGATGATATTCGAACTGAAGTACTACAGCGCATATACAAGGGTTTATATACTACAGATAACTAACGGAATGATCAATAAGCAAAGGTGCGAGGCTATGTACGAAGTATAAGCAAAGTATAATCAAAGTGTATTGGTAAGTTGGATGGATCATGAATCATGAATCGGAAATGAACATAAGTTAAATGGATCAGTAATGATAGCGGAAGTAAGGATAACCAGATTACCGGTGTAGAGGAATACCAAAAGGAGATGAATGATAGTTAGAGTTATATGAACAGGAAATGAAATAAGAATCAGATCAGATCTGTGGACCAGACGACGGATATGTCCATCAGATCTGGATCGGATCTGAGATCTGGATCTTCAGATCTGTACCCGGATATATGGTATATGACACTGACATCTATTGCCATAGAAACACGAGAGCGAGGCAGTTGTCATTGTGAGTACTGTCAATGGGCCTAAATGTGTATCACAAATGCTGCGCTGCATAAAGTGGCAACACCACTGTTAACTTAGTCTAGAAATATCCATCAAAATACTGCAGAACCAGGCTAAAGCAAGCCCAGCATAAAACAATCTGAGCGTGGACCATGCTCGGACCATTCTTCAGACTCCTCATTAAATGTGTCATATGATTCTGATGAAGACTACTGTTTGGCCCAGAAAGAGTGGAACGAGAGTTTAGAACTACTGTCACAGGTGGGCAAGCTTAAGTACTTTGGCAGGAGATGTAGTTACTGTAATACAAATGCACCATGTCTACACTAATGAACAACATGTCTTGCAGTATATGATCGTTACACTTGTGTCGGGTTTGGCAAGTCATTTTTCATGCCCAGTGAGAACCGGCCCTCACCATATCGACGGAAAACAATGGATATATTTACAAAGCTACGCAAATTGTGAATTTCACATATATTTAGAAAGTTGATGTGCATTATGTTTGATCAATACAACGCAAAGTTCAAACACACCATTTTGTCGATGTCTTGCAAGATGATGTGATTTGACTTGGTAAGCGTATATGAAATGATCGATTACACGAATTTAAGCAAGACTCCGACATTCTCACTAGGTCCACCCTCAAACCATGACAATGTCTAGTCCAGCCTGTCCAGGAGCCTCCCATTTCCTTACTTTCGGAAGCACCCTGTGGCCTGGCATATTCTTGTTTACAGTAGTTGTTGGACCAGACAGGTCTCAAATTGATGATGTTTTTGGATTAACAGTGGTAAAGCTCCCTGTATGTATCTTCTCTGGCTTTGATATTTTCAATAACCTAATTTGAGATGTTTTCTAGGACACTATCTATGCGGCCTGTTTCTCTGCACTGCCTGGCTCACAAATCAGTAAGTGACTTGGATACACCTAACTCATTTCGAATGTTCGCTGAATCATCTATTATAGCGCATATATGCGCATGAATCTCTTATCTAAGTGCAAGATAGTGCTGACTTAGTACACGCAGCACAAAGCTTTTTGAATGAACATGCATCACTGAGTCTGACCTGAGGCCCACAGTATCCACTGTCCCTGGTCTACCATACCACCTTCAACACTGGGTCCTCGCTGTCTGTGCCTGTGCATCACCTAGATCTAGCATTTTGAATAAATAGGAGGTATGTCAATCTAGAAGACTAGAACTTCCAGCAACATCTGACTTTAGGCTTGTGACATGATCAATGTCATCAGCAAATTCTCATCCGACGCCTAATATATTGGTTGACATCTAGCGCAGTTGCAGCAGAGCAGGTGGGTAGCAGGTAGTTATTATTTCACGGCATTGATTTATGTTTTCAGGCATATGGATCCGAATGGAACAGCAACACAGTCAACATCCAGCGCAGGTGCAGAGGTTGACATCAGGCAGGAAACAGGTGAGGACCAGGTGAGTGGCAGGGGCAGTATCAACCAGCTATCATTTTTGCACTGTGATTTGCTTGTTCTTGTAATGTATATCAGCATTGTTTTTGTGCGATTTCGGTAGTTTTATTGCCTGGTATGACTACAGTTGAGAATCTACCATCATTGATGGAAATATCATATGCAAAAATCGGCGTGAAATCGTGGGATCTCCGTCGAACAGCATTGCTAGAAAATCTCATGTCCCATTCTCTACAGAAATTTACGGAAATCTTGTGTTCCTGGTTCATCAATATTTTGGCCGTTTTCCATCGATATGGTGAGGTCCGGTTCTCACTGGGTTTCATGGGCGAGAAGCCTTTGGCATGGGTCATTCTTCTCGCAACGAATGCTATTATATTAAGTGGTTACCACACTAGTAACTTACACCAACTTGACTCGGAAGGATGCGACTGCCCAGAATCAGGACACATTGTTGGCAGTTCTTTGACTGACCAATTTGAGTTGGACATGCAGTGCTCATGCGGCGTGCAGTACTGTATGGTTGGAAGCAAATTAGTACTAGTGCTCCGCAGTGTACTATTAAATGACCTGTCAACTTGAAGAGTTAGTGAATGATTATTATCTTTGCTGTGTGAAGGAATGCGAGATGCCAAAAAGCTCATGTATGATGGAATCTGGATGCGATCACAGTTGAAAAAGGAAGTGTTGTCACGGTTGTCAGTTTGGGCTATGGATATTCTTTGAGCCTTAGGCATATCTAACTGATCATACAATCTCATTCTCCCATTGCACTGACAAGACACAGACGAGTACATATTTGTATGCAGGAATGGGCAAGTGTCCTTATGAACATGCCTGAAAATATGTCAGTGAGCTGTTATTATTTAAGAGAAACACTAATGTCATTAGCAAAGTAGTCCTCATCAAAGGATGACCTGGTCATCCCATTGCTCTCGACATGATCTGCTAAAAGATCAAGTTGAGTGTCAGCCTGTCGGAGAGAAGCCTTGTTGTGGGCGCAGATTGTAGTGAGATATTGGGTGTCTGTGACACCAACAGACGGTGGATGCTTTTCAAGGAGTGCATTCAACAACACTCGTGATTCTCACTCTGCTTGAGCGAACTCCACTTGTGCTTCGCGATACAAGAAATCACATAATGTGTTTCATCTGGCACTTTCTTCCAGTTCCCAGTATGATGTAAAGAGGCGCATGCGTTGATGTTCGTGGACTGCTTCCTTTAAATGGACAACCAAGTGGAAAACTCTCGGGCTAAGCCTATCCAAATGCATCAAGAACGCATCATCCAGCTATATTTGCAATCCATATGATGAGAACTATGCATGGTTTGGAACAAGTAAATTGTCACCATTGGAACTGCCCAACATACAATCAAAGAAGTGATGTTCTTGAAAAGAGGATGGCCGGCGATACAGATGAAAAGAATGATCACAAATTTCACTATGATTCTGCTGAGGCCGACTTGAAGTCAGTGATCCAGTTAAAGCAGGGGTGCTGGTGATATGGTGTTTGTTGTCTGAATGCTTAGAATCAGCTGTCAATGGAAAAATATCATCATCCATCTCCAAGAGGCTCGTCACTATCACTGGTATGTAAGTTAAGCCACATTATTTCAGGAGTCATAAATACCTGATCCTCTGCATGATAAGGGAGAGCTTGGAGGAGAGGTTTGGGGAGGGGAGACGATATGACTAGGAGGAGAGACTACATGACTGAGAGTAAAGGTAGGGTAGTGAGGTGGTTTACAAGGGCATTGAGGAGGTGTAGATAATGGCAAACATGGAACTTGGCCACATGGAGTAGCATCTAGTACATCCATTTTTTCAATGCAGTTGGAAATGTGCTAGGGTCTGGGAGGGCATGACAGTGAGTTCCTAAGCGGTTAATAGCCATCAGACTTTGAATGTCCTTTGCTGAGAATTCCACATCTGCTGTCCTGTGGGTTTCTGGGGTTTCTCAGTTACAATATTAATAATGATGAACGATAAGGTTACCCGGAGTAGCCTAAGCAATAAAGTGAACACATTGATTTGGACTTTGGCACCCCATATTGGAAATTATGGCACGCTGCAGCCAGTTTAGACTTTTTTGGCTTAGTATAAGGCTTCTTTCAAATTCAATTCAGTTTCGCCTCATTGTACCCCTTGTTGTAATTGATTCAATCCCCCTGTGTCATAATGAGGATACTTTCCCATCGCGGAAATCTGCACATTGAGTCAATGTGCAGATTTCTTCCACCCTTGAGAACAACTCGCCACAATGCAGCCCTCTCGCCAACTGGTGCCTCCAAATGTCAATGAAATATCTCACTTCGATGCTTCCCGCAATTTGTATGCACTGGTTAATATGACTCGGATGCCTGTACCTCCACAGCTGTCATGGCCCGAGAACGACGGTGGGCATGCTCTGATGCAGTTCTCAGTATCCGAGTCTGGCCCAGGCTCTGATAAACAGCTGCCCACCAACAATGACTCGGAGCCTGAGTTGTACAATGCAGGCCTGCAGATGATGAGCATGCCTCAACTGCCTCAACAGGACCCCCAGAATCTTGACGCACCTGCTATTGGTGCTATGCACAATCAGCCCGGGCCATCTCAGTTTCATGCTCCCATGTTTACTGATACTAGCATGCATCTGCAGCTGTACCATCAGAATCTTGATACACCTGCATTTGGTGCCATGTACAACAATGTCATGAATCTTAGCATCGCACAAAGTCCTTATTTGGCCACAAGGCCCCTGCACTATTACCCTTCTCCTAACATGGGTTCCTTCTATCCTGACTTTAGTGAGCCAGTCATGTTGAAGGGCAAGGATGTAGCATTACCACAAGGCACCAAGCATGAGCCTCATCAAGAGGTAATGTTCGTGGATGAGGACATAACATCTAGTCAACATGGAGAACAACATCAGCAAGGCAGCAAGGTGCAAAGCACCTTCAAGTTTCGCGAATATCACGGGCCACCAAAGAAGAGGGGTAAAGTGGCCACGGTAGGTGATCGCCAGTCAGATGATACCAATGTGCTGATGGACTCATAGCGAAGGGTGGAGAAATCCAGTTCTCAGTCTCGAGCATTTAATTTGGTGCCATCCACAGCCCTCCCTATCACTGCATCAGCACCATCCACATCTACATACCGTGTGGATCTGGTATACGACCAAAACAATACAAAGCACCAGCGCATTGTCGACTCTGCGGAGCAGTCAATCATCACAGATGCCATTAATGAAAACTGCTTAACAGACCTATCGACTAGACAGCAGTTAGTTCTACAGGAGTTGAGAGCAGCAGCAGTATCAGAATATAAAGATGAAGGTAAGCTAGTTCGTACCTTTTTAAACCTATACTGAAAAATTGGTCGTGCGTCAAAAGTGTTCAGAAATAATTAGGCTGCTGTTAATTCGGAGACCTTATACACGGACCTATCTGCACCATACGAAAGTATCATGCAGACAAGCAAAAGATTGCATGCAATATAGTCCAACTTGGATACCATCTGCGATCTCCAGCACGGGCAGCCACCACCGAACCTGAACACCAGGCAGGCTTGATCATCATGCTCATCGACGACACAATAGTATTCCTACCCAGATATGTTTTTGGTGAGGACGAAGATACTCATGAGTTACACTTCCTGGAAAATGTGATGGTGTGGAATGTTTTTCTCAATACAATTGTGGAACACAACCTCTACCCCTACCTCCATAAACTCAACAAAATGTTTTGCGCAGCTGCTGTGGCTGTCAAATGTGCATTGATGAAGCTTAGGACGGGGAAACTGCTGGAAATTGACTTTACATTTCAGAGATTTAGACACATATATGAGGATCTACTGAAGCATATTGACGAAGACCGTAGCTCAAGGGTTAATGGATCCGAAGGGCTTGGCCTTAGCTCGTGCGCTGTGCCCCTTACCCGAGTACATGCCCTTAATTTCAGAATGAAGTCCGAAGGACTTCCGGAGACTGGCTACTCTGGTGGAGTGCTGAAGGACTTCCCATGGTAAGCTTTTTGGATGGAAACACATAGAGGAGAGACTGCAATGGACAGAGTCCAAAACAGGATAGGATAGGATAGGAGGAGTGGTCTGAAGGACAGGATGTCCGAAGGTCTGAAGGTTAAGACGTCCAAAGGTTACAACGTCCAAAGGTTATGTTGTCCAAAGGTTATGTCGTTCAAAGGTCTAGGAGGAGCAGAGGAGCAGACAGGATTAGGACAGGAGGGGAAAGGCTACTACAGACAAGGTCTGGAGTAGAAACGAACAGAGGTAGACTACACTGAAGTAGAGACGGAGTTGACAGAAGTAGACAGAAGTCTCGGAAAGACAGGAAGTGCTGGAAAGGCAAAACTTCGGTCTAGGGAATCAATCCCTAGACTTCAGAACAGAGACATTAGGGACAAATCCGAGGGTCTGGATTTCCAGTGTGAAGGAGAAATAGTGACTAGGCCAGTTAGAAACTAGCGCTACTTATCCAAATAGGCGTGAGTGTAGTATTCAACCCAAGAGGACTGCTATTGAAGCAACTCCCTACTAATATGCAAGGGAAGCGATAGCGCAAAGGACTAAAAACCTATAGTGACCTAAGACCAAAAACCAATGAGTAGCGCTATAGTGATCAGCGACTAGTGAGTGCCAACAGAGAAACATGTGTATAAGTGAGAAGCGCTATGCAAGTTGTTTTATGCAATAGCGCTATGCGACGTCCGACTAGCAACAGCGAGAAGAAATCAAAGGGAGAGAAAGCGAGGAGTAAGATAAGACAGTGCTAGTGAAATGCCTGATAGTGACTAGATTATAGCTCGACTACTGATAGCGATCCCGATGTTGCGAAAGTCAAACGTAAGGGGGAACTTTAGCGATGCGCACTTAAAGCAAGTCAAGCGACACACAATCAAAGAGATTTGGCAAGAGCGGAATTGATTGCACCAAGACTGAGATATAGCGACTAAAGTGATTCCGACACCAGCAAAGGTCCGGGGAAGGGAAGTACTGTACTGTATGTGCGACGGGTCATTTTATCATACTGCGTAAAGGTTTGGGAGTGCGTAGGCGAGATTAGTAGCAACACTGGTGAGGGCACGATGTAGCGACAAGTAATAAGACATGCAGCGCAGTGGAACATGAGGATACATGTAATAAGACCTGTGACTGATGAGTAGCGACTTTTAAGGAAAAATAACGCACCAGTGGAGGTAGGTGGACATAGGCAGGACATGGGAAGACGAAATACCTAGGCGTCGGACCGGGCAGCGCGTTATGGGAGAAAAGTGGTTCCAAAGCGGATAGCTTGGGAATGATAGCACTAGTGACTAGCGCCTTACTCTTTTTCCTCTGGGCAAGGCAATTTATGCCTCTGACACTCATACGCGCCTAGCGCTGGTATGATTGTCACAACGGGATATGACACTGCCGCACAATGCAGGATATGGGATGTGGGAGCAGAAGCCCCCACAGAGCCAGATGGCCTTGATCCCAGCAACTATAGTAAAATGCACTGCATACAATACATACGTGGGAGTAAGCCCCTGCAAAAAAGGCTATGTCAGATAGGGTCATCAATCCCAAAGGACAATGTGAATTGCATGTGCCACTGGAGGTTGCCAGTGTGGGATAGTGGTTTGAAAGAATTTTGAGTAAAACTTCTCTTTGTTGAATCATGCGCGAGGTCAGTACTTACTTAGAGCATGCTTAAGACCAAATTAATGTGGGAATCCACAAACTGGTGGAAACTGGTAGTAATAGAACGAAAGCTGAGTGTTGACAAGTTGGAGTTGCGCTGTCCTGCATGATTTGGGAATCATGCATAGACATGACTACTAGGTATCCCCCTAAAAGACAAAGTCTGTTAGCTTAGTCCTCAGACTAGTCAACCCATACCTTGGTATCAAACCTTGGTCCAATAGTTTCAGTTTTCCCTCAGTGATTCATGAATCCACCATGTTTTGAAGAAAAGTCATATGTGAGATGGGAATCACATAATGACCTAGTTGATATGAGAAGCAAAATGAAGGTTAATGTATTGCCTTTCATTTGGCTTATTCACTTTGGCTAGAGAAACCCATAGAGAAAAGTTCAAAGCCTAACAAAAACCTATCTAAAAAGCCCGCGTATTGTGTACTATTATTTGTTCCATTATTTCTGAGTTGTTTTCTCTAGTGTTTCTTTACTTTACTTTTCTATTAGGATGCTCTGACTAATCAGATGCTTCATAAAATTGTACCTACAGGGTATGATGTCATAATGATGTCATAGGACTTCACCTATACTCCTGCAGGTATTTTGGTTGAAAGATATGATATCATAGTGATGTCATAATGATGTCATGTTCCATGGAATTTGCTAGAACATTCCAATGACTCATAATGACTCATAGTGACTCATTGTGACTCAGAATGATGTCATTATCCCACCATGAATATTCTGGAATGTTCTTTTGCACCTGCTAGAACATTCTGCTCCAGTTTTTGGAATATTCTTCTCACATTCTGAAGTCATTACATCACCTTTTTACTTACATAATATTCCCACACAAAATGTATATAAGGAGAGCCCATTCTCCCCCAAAAAATAGATCTCCCACTTGTTGCATTCAAGAACTCCCACTTGAGCAAATTGAACTCTCACCTAAGAAGCTTCAGTCTGAACAAATTGCTGCTTACAAAGCCCATTTCCTTTGTAAGAACTGTCCAGGCAAGTGCAGGGAAAGTGTTTCCCTTGAGATTACGTAAGTTTCTCGCGATAGAAACCCAGTTTTGTGAGACCAGTGTTCTCACCACGTAGTGTTTACTGACCAACATGAGCTTTGGTCACCGTTGTTTTTTTGTGAGACCAGCGTTCTCACCAGGTATTTGTATACTGACCAACACGAGCTTTGGTCATTGTTGTTATTTGCCATTGTTTTACAGTGGCTCAAAAAACTGTCCGCATGTTTTGACATTTTTCACTATCTATGATATTGTGTGAGAATGAACAAATTCCTCAAGGACATACTTATACCACATTGTAGTATGGCTTCAGGGCTTTTATTTGAGCCCTACACCGTGGGAATCGGCGGAGATATGGTGGAGATATAAGGCTTATAAAATGATGACTCATGTGGACAGTTTTTTGAGTGTATATTAAAACTATATAAATCATTATTTATGACACCATAAAAATCATGCCACTATTATATAAATTATAAAGTGGTGTCATTATGTTATTTTATGACTATATCTAACTATATAAACCAGAATATCTCATGTATCATAGTCATAATCACCATGAAAGCCATCTCCTCTGCTCAAAGAGATAATATCCTCTCTCTGTCTTATGCTGGCCTCTCTGCTCGCCAAATTTCCTCTAGAACTGGAATATGCAAGTCCACTGTGGCCAAGTTCATCAAAGAAAGCCACCCAGACAAGGAAAACTCTTGTGGAGGACGTCCATCCAAGCTTACCTCTACTGACAAAAGGGCTATTATCCAACATATCACTACAGGAAAGGCTGATAATGCTGTCCAAGCCACCCATTATATCAATTCCACCATCACTACCCCTGTCTCTTCACAAACTGTGAGGAATGTTCTCAAGGCAGCTCATCTCAAGGCAGTAACAAAGAAGAAAAAGCCTCTTCTCTCCATCAAACATAGGCAGAGAAGACTAGCCTTTGCCTTAGCTCATCAACACTGGACTGTAGATGACTGGAAGCATGTTATATGGTCAGATGAGACCAAAATCAATAGGATTGGGTCAGATGGGAAGGTGTATGTATGGAAAAAGAAGGGAGATGGCCTAACAGACAGAGAGGTTAATGGGACTGTCAAGTTTGGAGGAGGTTCTTTAATGGTATGGGGCTGTATGGGATGGAATGGTGTGGGAATGCTTGCTGAGGTTGAGGGGAAGATGAATGCTGAGCAGTATGTGGACATTTTAAATGACCACTTGCTGCCTAGCTTGGCAGAATCAGGGATTGATGAAGAAGATATCATTTTCCAACAGGATAATGATCCCAAGCACACATCCAGAAGAGCTAGGGAATGGTTTGAAGAACATAACATCAATGTTCTTGACTGGCCAGCACAGTCTCCTGATGTCAATGTCATTGAACATCTCTGGGGAACACTCAAGAAAAAGCTTCAAGCCTATGAAAACCCCCCTAAAGGAGTATGGGAGCTTTGGGAGAGAGTAGCAGTGGAATGGGGGAAGATCACAGCTGAGGATTGCCAGAAATTAATTGAGAGTATGCCTAGAAGGATAGAGGCAGTAATTAAAGCCAAGGGAGGTCATACAAAATACTAGAATACCTGGTTATTACTGTAAAATACTTGAGTCAAAAAACTGTCCGCATGAGTCACCATTTTGTGAGCCTTGTATCTCCACCATATCTCCACCGATTCCCACGGTGTAGGGCTCAAATGAAAGCCCTGAAGCCATACTACAATGTGGTATAAGCATGTTTTTGAGGCATTTGTTTGTTCTCACACAATATTATAGATAGTGAAAAATGCCAAAACATACGGACGGTTTTTTGAGCCACTGTATATTTGTCATTTGTTGTTATTTGTGAGACCAGCGTTCTCACCAGGTATTTGTATATTGACCAACACGAGCTTTGGTCAACGTAGTCACATTTGAGACCAGCTTCTCAACAGTTAACCGTATATTCAGGAAACCAGTTCAAGTGTCTAGACGGTATATCCTAGACAATCCCATAGTTTCAATCAGAGATAATAAAGCTCTGGCTAAGTTAATCTGACTGATTGGTTTAGCGAGCCTCCCAAGAACTCACACGTTATCTACCACGAAAGAAGAAAAGTCGTAGACCGTGTTAATCGAGGACTGGCAAGAAGTCTTATCCAGTGTAATTGTGGTGTCATTACATTCTTACACGTATTTATATAAGACCCTCGGTTATTAAGACAGTGCCAACGTTAATGTTGGACTTTCAAATTCTGTGACTGAATTATATTATGTAATATGTCACGTCACCAATGTTGCTTGTAAATTTGACCATTAGATTTAGGA